CGCTTCGGGGCTTGTTTGACCCTCCAAATGGGTCGGACAAGCCGTGATGGCCAACCGTATGCATAGACAAGGTCTTGACGGACGTCAATGAAAAAATTTGGCATTTTTGACGTCGGAATCCGGATCACCTAAAAAATGGTGTGCTATAACACACGAAAATCATCGAAATGAGGCGTATGCTCGCTTCGGGGATCGTTTGACCCTCCAAATGGGTCGTACAAGCCGTGATGGCAAACCGTATGCATAGACAAGGTCTTGACGGACGTCCACGAAAAAATTTGGCATTTTTGACGTCGGAATCCGGATCACCCAAAAAATGGTATGCTATAGCACACGAAAATCGTCGAAATGAGGCGTATGCTCGCTTCGGGGCTCGTTTGACCCTCCAAATGGGTCGGACAAGTTGTGATGGCCAACCGTATGCATAGACAAGGTCTTGACAGACTTCCACAAAAAAATTTGGCATTTTTGACGTCGGAATCTGGATCACCTAAAAAATGGTGTGCTATAGCACACGAAAATTATCGAAATGAGGCGTATGCTCGCTTCGGGGCTTGTTCCCTCCAAATGGGTCGTACAAGCCGTTATGGCCAACCGTATGCATAGACAAGGTCTTGACGGACGTCCACGAAAAAATTTGACATTTTTGACGTCGGAATACGGATCACCCAAAAAATGGTGTGCTATAGCACACGAAAATCGTCGAAATGAGGCGTATGCTCGCTTCGGGGTTCGTTTGACCCTTCAAATGGGTCGGACAAGCCGTGATGGCCAACCGTATGCATAGACAAGGTCATGACGGACGTCCACGAAAAAATTTGGCATTTGACGTCGAAATCCGGATCACCCAAAAAATGGTGTGCTATAGCACACGAAAATCATCGAAATGAGGTATATGCTCGCTTCGGGGCTCGTTTGACCCTCCAAATGGGTCGGACAAGCCTTGATGGCCAACCGTATGCATAGACATGTTCTTGACGGATGTCCACAAAAAAATTTTGCATTTTTGATGTCGGAATCCGGATCACCCAAAAAATGGTGTGCTATAGCACACGAAAATCGTCGAAATGAGGCGTATGCTCTCTTCGGGGCTCGTTTGACCCTCCAAACTGGTCGGACAAGCCGTGATGGCCAACCGTATGCATAGACAATGTCTTGACGGACATCCACGAAAAAATTTGGCATTTTAGACGTCGGAATCCGGATCACCCAAAAGATGGTGTGGTATAGCACACGAAAATCGTCGAAATGTGGCGTATGCTCGCTTCGGGTCTCATTTGACCCTCCAAATGGGTCGGACAAGCCGTGATGGCCAACCGTATGCATAGACAAGGTCTTGACGGACGTCCACAAAAAAATTTGGCATTTTTGATGTCGGAATCCGGATCACCCAAAAAATGGTATGGTATAGCACACGAAAATCGTCGAAATGAGGCGTATGCTCGCTTCGGGGCTCGTTTGACCCTCCAAATGGGTCGGACAAGCCGTGATGGCCAACTGTATGCTTAGACAAGGTCTTGACGGACGTCCACAAAAAAATTTGGCATTTTTGACGTCGGAATTCGGATCACCCAAAAAATGGTGTGCTATAGCACACGAAAATCGTAGAAATGAGGTGTATGCTCGCTTCGGGGCTCGTTTGACCCTCCAAATGGGTCGGAGAAGCCGTGATGGCCAACCGTATGCATAGACAAGGTCTTGACGGACGTCCACGAAAAAATTTGGCATTTTTGACGTCGGAATCCGGATCACTCAAAAAATGGTGTGCTATAGCACACGAAAATCGTCGAAATGAGGCGTATGCTCGCTTCGGAGCTCGTTTGACCCTCCAAATGGGTCGGACAAGCCGTGATGGCCAACCGTATGCATAGACAAGGTCTTGACGGACGTCCACGAAAAAATTTGGCATTTTTGACGTCGGTATCCGGATCACCCAAAAAATGGTGTGCTATAGCACACGAAAATCGTCGAAATGAGGCGTATGCTCGCTTCGGGGCTCGTTTTACCCTCCAAATGGGTCGGACAAGCCGTGATGGCCAACGGTATGCATAGACAAGGTCTTGACGGACGTCTACGATAAACTAGCTGAGGCTAAGTTTTCAGTATTTGTTTACGTATTACGCCCAAAAATAAATAACGAACATAAAAAGATGAACTCAAGATGATATGATGCAATTGGTGATGTGCAACGAAATTAGGCATTAAAGCAAGTAATGTAATTTTTATTTTTTTTAATCTTAGTACATTTTGCTAGATATACCACCAATTTTAGGAGTATTAGTAAATGGAACATTGCACTTATTGTTCGTTCTCTGTTCCAATTCGTTTGTTCTTTTCTTCTTTTTAGTTCATTTCGATAAGAATGCCTCGCTACTTGTTCGATAATTCTTTAATTTTAAAACTTTTCACATGTCGACATATTTAAGATCATAAAATTAAATAACATTTTAACATATTTAAAAAATATATAGTTTAAATCACAAGATTTAATTTTATTTCTTTTAAAACTAAGTGCCAAATTTAGAGCCTAGTTAATCCCCTATATTGGTAGGTAGTATACAATATAGGGGATGTGTGGGTTTAGCCAAAATGAACCAAATGATAAATTTTTGTCATTTTTAGGATAATTGGAAGAAAAAAAACACTTTTGAGTATCTTATTTTAATTTGTCAATAATTTATTAATCAAACATTTTTTTGTAAGAAAATAAGGCCCCCCTAAATATAATTTATTTATTCTTTTTAGTTGGACCATTAAAAAAATCAGAATTGACTGATTCAAACTTTATCCCAAATTTATATCACACATTTATGGCTCATTAAAGGAGTTTCACTTACCTATAATACTATAGTCTATAACATCAAATTAATTGTATTGATTTTATTTTATATGAGTATAACAAAATCAATATTTTGTCTTTTAGGTTTTCTCGATATTTTTTTTCGGAACTTTTTAATGGTTAAATGTGAAGTATCTTACATTAAATTTTGTTTATATTTTTGTAAAATATGATGTGAATGTTACTATTTGTTACTGTCAATACTTTTAATTTTGTTAATCGTAATCAATAACATACAATTTTTACATGCCACTATTTGTAACTTTATAAACACAACTTATTCATTTTTTTTTAATTATAATGGATCCATTGCTGTCACCAACAAGAAAAATATTAGAATGATATTACTTGGATTAAATTTAATCAAGTTAATTTGTATGCACAGAAGTAATATTTGATTTTGGCTCAGACTTTATTTAAGTAAATTTGTATAAATACTTGGATACTCCTTTGATTACTTTTTATATGTCCTTTTAAATTTACACTAGCATTAAAAAATTAAGTAACTTTACTCATCTATTTTATTTAATATTTTATTAAATCGACTTTATAATAAATAGAGTAATGAATATGTTAAATTTCAACAATTAAAATATACTTAGATAACTATTTCAATTTTGAGTTTATTTTTTAAGTCAATTTTTTACATCAGAAGTTAATGTATGAAGTACTCCGATAAATATTAGTAATTACTAATAGATATCCTAAGTTGATCAAAGTATATATGTTCAAGATTAATTAACGTACAACTCTATCAAAAAAAAGTATAATAAGAAGAATAAAATTTTATACATTGATTTTATTTATAAAATGATAAATATTATGGTCCAATGATACGTAATAAAATAAAGGGAGAGAATAACTTATAACCCAAACATAATGTTAAAAAGTTGAGAAACAAAATATTCTGAAAATTTTACAAGTAAATGTGAGTGTTCTTATTCTTAGATATTAGTGACGCTTTCCTAAAGTTCGGTTATTTTTTACTTTATATATGATTTAAATTATTAATTTTATTCTTAAATTAAGAACGATTTTAAAAAAAAAAAACTAAACTATTCTTCCATACTATTTCGATGTCATTTTTTAAGAGTCAAACAATTCAATTTTGATCAAATATTTAAAATAAAATTGATAATTAAAGAATACTATAAATCACAATAATTGATAATTCAAAATATTAAAAACATCTATGAAAAACTTACTGTTAAAGATAAACTTATTTGAATCTCAAAATGCGAAAAATATCACATAAAATAAGACAGAGAGAATAACGATGTTCACGTGACATTTTTCGTTTTTCGAGAGTCTTCAACTTTGATCGAATATTTACATATGAAAATTTCAAACTTTTTGAAATAAAATTTATATATTTGTAAATTACGTAAACAATACTATAAATCATAATTCAAAATATTAAGAACATCTATGAAAAACTTACTGTTAAAGAAAAACTTATTTGAATCTTAAAATACGAAAAATGTCACATAAAATGAGACAGAGAGAATAACGATGCTCACGTGACATTTTTCGTTTTTTGAGAATCAAACAATTCAACTTTGATCGAATATTTACATATGAAAATTTTAAACTTTTCGAAATAAAATTTATATATTTGTAAACTACGTAAAGAATACTATAAATCATAATAATTGATAATTCAAAATATTAAAAACATCTATGAAAAACTTACGGTTAAAGATAAACTTATTTGAATCTCAAAATACGAAAAATGTCAGATAAAATGAGACAGAGAGAATAACGATGTTCACGTGACATTTTTCGTTTTTTGAAAATTAAAGAATTCAACTTTAATCAGACATTTCCATATGAAAATTTCAAACTTTTTAAAATAAAATTTATATATTTATAAACTACGTAAAGAATACTATAAATCACAATAATTGATAATTCAAAATATTAAGAATATCTATGAAAAATTTATTATGAAATGTAAAATACATAAAATGAAATAAAAAATAACATTATTCACAAAACTCGCAAAAATATGAAACTCTTAATAAAAAGATCGAACGAATCCATCACATTGAACGTTGTTGGTACTGTCAACGGAGAATACAGTTGGCAGGCGGTGTGACACAGACTTCACGAAAATTGTCCCTTTTGTTCTCGACATTTATCTATCACGGGGATGCTAACGAACAAAATCGAACATTATTTCAATTCATCTCCATTTTTGTATAATTATTCCTCGATAATTGAGTTGAGGTTTCGATATCTATAATTCAATTAACATTTTTTTTATTTTGAATAATCATTACAATTCGATTTTAAAGCTTTCAATTTTCATTAACAATTACAAGGCATAGAAGGAAGATCGGAGGCTTTAGCATAAGCCGTCAACGGCGATTTCTTAAAAACTCTACTCCCGAAAACCAAAAACCCTAACGTATGACCGGAAATCGCCGCCAGAAAAATTCCGCCATTGAAGGACATAACAGAAAGCATAACCAGATAAGCCAAACCAATTCTAACTCCGTACAACGCCGTTTGAATCAACCCGGCCGTCACATGATTTGCACTCTCTTTGATGTAATTTGAGTGCGATAGCAACTCGACGAAGAAAGCAAGTAGAAAAACGACGATAAGTGCGAAAACGTACATACCGATGTTGTCGTATCCCGGCCAACCGGAGAAGAGAATTTCAGCGTTTTTTCCCCAGAAAAACGTCATGTGCATCATCATGTTGTGGTTGTTCACGGCGGCATGTGGTACCGGGGGCGCCATATCTCCGTGCATATTCATAGCGCCGTTCATCTCTGCAAATTGAATCGTCTCTCTGTTGAATTTTCTTCTAAATTGGAGTGTGAAATGTGTGATAGAGGAGGTGTATACATGTTTTAGATAAGCCAAATTTTGATAGTAACAGTTCAGTAATAATAAATGTTCGTTTACTCTACTATAAGGAAAGTATAATTTTACCTCGTCCCCGTAAAATATAAGATATAATAATTTGAAATAGATCATAAAATTATTTTTATTTAACATCTAATTAAAAATATTAAATAATTCTTATGACATTATTAATTTAATATAGTATAATTTTAATTTTTTAAAAATTAAATAGAAAAAAAGATTTGATATACCTTTCAACAATTTTGTCAGTTATAAAATGACTCACATATACCCTTCATTTTAACAGAAATTTAAAAAAAAACAGTTTTAAATTTATAATTGTTATTTTTAATTTTTTTTAAAAAAATTATTTAGGAGTATATATGATTACTTTATCAAAGTTTAACATATATTTTATTTTTTTATACATAAATTATTTTTTGACTTCTTTTATTATAATTATTTGAGTTTTTTATTCTTATTTTTTTTACTTTCATTCCTTAGTTTAAAGGAAAAAAATTGAAATATTTTTTTGTCTATATTGTAATTTGATTTTTGCATTCGAAGAAAAAAATTTGTTCCATCTACAATAAGTTTCACAAAAATATTATTGAAATATAAATAAATTTGATTATTAAAATAACAATTCTAAATTAGTCATGAAATAAAAAAAAGTCAAAAGAAATATATTTGACGAGAATTAAATTTATTCATAGAGAATTATGTTTTTTTAAAATAAAATAAAAAGTAAAATTTTTTTTTTTTCATTTCTGTTAGAAAAAAAGGATATATGTGAGTTATTTATTTATAAATAGAGTTATATATTAATAACTTTCATAACAAAAAATATATAAGTCCTAAATAATAAAATTAAAGGGTATATCAGATATTTTTTCAATTAAATATAACACAACAAAAATTCACGTTGGACGGACTTGATATATCATTTTAAAAAGGTGGATTTAATTATTTTTTTATAAAATAAAAGGATTTTTAATACATATTAAATTGTTAATTAAGAAATATGTACAGTGAAAAACACGTGGCCCCACTTCTTCACATGGTAAACGCGTGTCTCACTGACTATATTTATACACTATATATATTTTATGTCTCTTATTACGTAAATTTATCGATATACTCTTTGTTCGACGAATTTTGAGTTAAAATTTTTATTAAATTGATCACTGAATATAAAGTAGTTATTTAATTTTTCTATATTTTTCAAATTCATATTTTTATGGCTAATCACTCTAAAGAACAATAAAAAGAATAATGTCATTTATGACATTAATTTTATGAAATGATAATTACTATTTCCGTTCAATCATAGTTGTTTAATGTAATATTATTTTGAAATATCCAGCAATATTTATCTGTGAAATTAATAGATAATTTTACACTTAGTTCCTACTTTACCCTTATCATTAATTATAATAATTTCTTTATTACATTTTTCAAGACATTGTATTTGTTATGTTCAAAGGGTGTTATAATAAAATTGTTATTTTCTAATTATACTTTTTCTACGAAGTGTACAAAATCAACATTCGACGGAGGAAGTGAAAAAATTATTTTTCCTTAATAAAAAGGTCAAAATAAAATGAAACGGAGAAAGTCAAAAGAGATGGTACAACACATCATACAACATATTTAGCAAAATGTTCATCGCTCTAACTCTCCTAAAATGTTATCGCACTTACAGTAAATCTACCAGAAATGCATTACTTTTAGGGAATACGATAAGTACGAATTAATAATTTTGAAGAATCGAAGCAACTTTGATAGGCAAAATGTACAAGATCCAAAAACACTACTTCAGTGCTTGCCCATCACCAACTTCTTCACATTATCTTTGTCAATTGGTTTTTTGTGATCCTTGGTGGAAATTTTACCTATAATTTTCAAAACAAAATTAATAAGGGAAACAAATGCGATAACTGAAACACAATAGATAACAAATAATATTTTCTTCGTTTAAAAAAGAATGACCTTCTTTTTCTTTTTACCTCTTTTTTTTTGTAATAACTTTCTACCTAACATGTTTAAGGTCACAAGGTTAAAAGACAATTTTGTACATTTGACATACAAAAATCTTCTTTATTTTCTTAAATTCCGTGTCAAGTCAAATTAGATCATTCTTTATGAATCGGAAAGAATAATAGATATCAAAAATCAAGAAAATACATAGTATACTACGATAGACACGGTGTTCCTAGACTCCCACGAAGCCTAAACCCACCGAAAACCTAGTCAAAAGCTCAACTATACCTACTGACCTTCTACCCTAATCCGCATCATCCATACCCTCCCATGTCCTATCTAATCACTTCTTCGACTTACCTCTACCTCTCCTCATACCCCCTAACATCCAACCTTTCGTACGTCCTTAGTAGAGCATCTACACATCTCCGAAAGAAATGATACTTACAATCGAAATACAAGACGATGCTGAAAATGAGGAAACTTACCATTATATTTCCATGTTGTGTTTTCGCCATTAGAAACAACCTCAAACATTATGCAATCTCCTTCCTTCAAGCAATTTGCATCGCGGAATACACGCCATCCACCCTTGATACATACGCTATTGCCAAAAGAACGTAGCTTAACGTTCCACGACCTTTCCCTTCTATCATCTCTAATAACCAAATCACATTTCTTGTTGGTGAGACGATATGCATGAGCAATTTTCGTTGGAATGTACTGAAAACGGTTTACAAAACCAATCACACATATAACCGAAGAGTGGCATACTGTATTCTTGAAGTAAACTTTCGACTTACCAAGAAATCATTGACGAGGCAATAAGGTCTAATAATGCATACGAAATGAGACTGAGCAAAAGGCTTGTTCTTGTTCTTGTTCTTGTTCGTGTTCGTTCCTGCACAGGAAAACGCATGACTTGTTATGGATTCTAAATCATATAACAGAGAAGAGGTTGCTTAGATGAGAAAACTTGCCATAAAATTTCCATATTGGTTTCTCTCCGTTACTAACGACCTCAAACATCATGCGATCTCCCTCCTTCAAGTCATTTTCAACGCGAAATTTACTCCATCCTTTAGCTATATAGACTCCATAACCATAGGTATCAATCCTTAAATTCCATGATCTTTGTCGTTCATCTCTAATAACCAAACCACATTTAGTATTGATGAGTCCATTTGCCCGAGCAAATCCTCTAGGAAGGCGCTGAAATGGTTTATAAGTTAAACAATTCGACACATATATATATCATCAGCTTCATGTGTTCCGCTGTATTCATTACTCTAATGAAACAAAGAAAATTACGCAGATGTTTTCTTTACGAACTCACATAGTAATTTCTTTTAAGGCAATACGGCCTGACAATGCACTCAACATGAGATTGAGTAAACGAGCTGCAAGTAGCAAATTCTTCCTTTGGAAAAGCCTTTCTTGTTGACACGATGTTGGCGTTTGGTTTGTCTGTGACAGAGACAAACTCATGTCAAAAAATCAAACATGAAAAAAACGATTAGGGGTTGTTCGATTGGGTGTACAAGAATAGTACTGAATAAGGTTTATTAGTAATACTAAATAGTTTTGTCGAAGATAGCAATATAATATCATGGTTATATTGTACATAACAAAGAAAAAAAGGATCATCGATATAAAAGAGGAGGTTTTAATCTGAAAAAAACTTACCACCGCGAAATTTCCATATTGGTTTTTCTCCATTAGCAATAACCTCAAACATCATATAATCTCCAACATTTAAGTCATTTGCAACGCGGAACTCACGCCATCCACCTAATAGATGGACTCTACAATCGTGGGTAGCTAGCCTTAATTTCCACGATCTTTGTCTTTCATCTCTGATAATCACGTCACATTTCTTGTTGAAGATATCGTTTTCCATTGCAAAGTGTTTAGGAAGGCGCTGAAAATGGTTTACAACAAATCTGGACATATAAATATGATTATACGCTTCATACGTTTTGCTGTAAACAACTCCAAATCTGGTAGTTTTGAGACTTACCAAGTAACTATGTGTAATGCAATATGGTTTGACGATACACTCAAAATGAGATCGACTGCAAGGGTTGTAAGTAGCAGCTTCTGCATAGGGTAACGCCTCGCCTGATGACATGATGCAGAGGTTCGATTTTCCTATAACGTTGTTAGTCATTAGAGAAATCAAATATGACAAAACTTACTACAATCAAAACATGAATAGCACGTAATCGTCCATCCCATTACAATGTGTAAAATGTTGAACCTTCGTGTGTTTACTTTTCATATTTTGAAACCGTTAGTTAAAGATTAAAGGATTCTAAAGATGTTTGTTTACCTTTGAATTCAAATTTCTTGCAAGTCTCTTCAACATTATTGAATCCTGCTTCTTGTTGAAGATACTCTGCATATTCTCTGTCACAATGACTCGAATCGAAGATGGAAACTTCGAATTCCATGTCTCCTTCATGTCTAAACACCAACATATCTCCCAAATGCAAATCATTCTCATTAGCAAACTTTTTCCAACCCTCTTCTAATCGCCAACCGTTCACCTTAACCAACCACGTTTTACCCGCGCTTCTCAGTATTGCATGTTCGTGTTGATCATGTCCCTTCAGATACTTCAAGAAACCTATAGGAATTTTCTGCAGTACTACACAAACTTAACAACAACATATCCAGTGCAGGGAGCGTAGAGTATACGCAAACCTTTTCCTAACATGAAACACAAACATGTACCAAATAAATCCAAGTTTCAAACACAGAGTCATTTGTCTTACATTCCTATTTAGTCTGTGTTAAGGAAAATGTCTTTTATTTTAAACAAGCTCTTTAATTTCAACTTATCACAAAATAAAATGACAATTTGATACATTTGACATATGTTTAATTTGGAGGATCTTAGTAGCTTAATTGATTAGTTACCAAAACACTCATCTTGTTAGTGAGAGTTCGATTTCACACTATAAAAACATTGTGAATTCTATGAGAATTTTTCTGAGGATTAGTAAGAAAATTCGTAGGAAACGTATTTTTTCCTGCAAATTTTCATACTAATTCCCATGTAATTCACAGTTTTACTGTAATGTCACATTGTAACCCCTTCCCCCTCACCCAATATTTTTTAAAAAGACAAATGTTTAATTTAAAAAACCGTGAAATTTAAAATTTTTCTATACTTTACTCCATCAATTCCAATTTATATGACTTATTTTTCTTGTAGTTCTCAAAATAATGATACAATTTTATATTAAGCAACAATTTAACTTTGTAATACCTATTTTATCTTTAATAAAATGATTTTAGCTACACATATTTTAGATCATAATTTTTGAAAGTCTTTCCTTTCTTCCTTAAACTCAGTGCGGAGTCAAACTAACTCATATAAAATGAGATAAAAGGAGCATTAAACTCCGAATCCAGTCAAATAAGACAAACAAATTGAACCAGACAATTACAATCATGCTTTTGTTTTAGGACCTGAAATTGTACTAATTTTGTACCTATTTAAACAATTATAGAATGTTTAAAAGAACTATAGCTTTCAATTTATAGTGTTTTTTTTTTCTTTTCTGGAATAAATTTTTCCATCTCTACAACATCATACATGAAACATATAGTAAATAAAAGGAAGATTTAAAAATAAAAAATAAAAACTTAAAAAAGGATTACTTACAAGACCATGCTTGAAACCTTTATGAATGGGTTTCAAAAATTGAGGTTTCTTTGGAGGAATTTTCATGACAATCAACAAAATGCCTCTTTCTCTTTTGCAATTTTCACATTTAAGAAAAATCAGTAAAGTTTGTAACAATTTAATAAAAATTTTAAACTTTTAATGGAATTGTTAGACATCTTTTCAAGGCAGTGTAGACTGTGTAAAAGCATATGACAATTTTGCAGTTTTCCAATTTAGAAATTTGAATACATGGAAAGTTGTGTGGGTCCAGTTGTTTACCATTTTCCTCAAAATATACAATTAACTTTATTTAAAAGTTAATATCGGAAATAAATTACTCACATCGGGTGTTCATTGCAAGTCAATGCAATCTCTATTATTATGTGATTATATGGAGTGAAATGAATGATAAACATAAACACATTACATACATGTATTGGCTTGGTGTAAACACTCTGTGCGGATAAATTTTATCCGTTAATATCTCAGTCATATAATATTGCAAGTCAATGCAATCTCTATTATTATGTGATTATATGGAGTGAAATGAACAATAATTATAAACACATTACATACATGTATTGACTTGGTGTAAACACTCTGTGCGGATAAATTTTATTCGTTAATATCTCAGTCATATAATATCGCAAGTCAATGCAATCTCTATTATTATGTGATTATATGGAGTGAAATGAACAACAAATATAAACACATTAGATACATGTATTGGCTTGGTGTAAACACTCTGTGCGAATAAATTTTATCCGTTAATATCTCATAGCCATATATTATCGTAGATTAGATTTCATATATAAGCTACTCTTCGTTTATTTTTATTTGTTACTATTTGACTTGATATGATCATTAAGAAAAAATAATTATCAGTATAGGCATATTACTATACGATCTCTATTAGTTGATGTTAATATAAGATGTTGAAAAATGATTTGGAGAATGATATTTAATTAGCTAATGATAAAATATGATTTAAAAAAATAATTATTTTTTCTTGATATATCAAAATTGATAAGTAAAAAGTAAAATTATATTAATGACAAATAAAAGTAAAAGAAGAGAATGCTATATACTATTGTTATAAATATTTTGTCCACCCTATTTACTTTTTACTTTATTCTAAATTTTTAAAGTTTGAAACTAAAGATGGAAATTGCATTTGTGTTTATAGTTTTTGTAAAAAAAAATTTAATTGACTTGATTTAAAGATGAAGTATAATTTAAACACAATTACTTTTATAAAAATAAAAAACTTAAAAATAAATTTGAAAGAATAAAATAATGAAAACAAATATAATTTGATTTTCAAACATGAAATATAATTTATTTTTCAAAGGTCTAATCTATCCATACCATGCAACCTTACTTATTATGAGTCCAATATGAAATTACATTCTAAGTAGCAAACAATTAGGTAAATTGAGAATGCTAATTGTTACTCTTTGGAATTATTGTTTTTTATTTTTAGAGTCACGCTATAAAAATTTCAACTAACATTTTAAGATATATATTTTCATCATATTAATATGCAAAAAATTATAATTAATAGTACTTTTCATGCAGTTTTAGAATATCTAATTTTTTTGTTTAAAACATCAAAGTAATGTAATCTAATTTACCTTTGAAAATTAGTCAAATTAACTTTCGATAATCGCAACATGACAAACAATTCCGAACATAGGAGTATAACTTAACTTGGAAATCGCAAAAGTCAAACCTGAAAATCTCACATACCCAAAACCAAACTTAAAAAAATCAATTCAATTCTGAGTTTATTTGAAATTGTAACTTCTTCGATCAAAGAATCAAAATTTTAACATCCAATATGAATGAATCTAAACACAAACAAACCTTGAAATAATATTGAGCCCACAAAATTTACTGTCCTTTAAAGATTTTGATCTCCTCACAATCATTTTCTACCAACAACAACATATCAGTGAAATTTCAGAATATACACAAACCTTATTTACTACCTCGGGAGGTAGATATGTTGATTCTGAAAGACCCTCGACTTAAGTGAAGAAAAAAGAGACAGTAAGAAAAGGTAGTAAGCAACAAGAAAACGGTACAAAACCCTAGACTCAAGTTTCCTTTACCATCAACAACTGCTTCATATTATCTTGTCAATGGCTTCTATGATGCTTGGCTATTCGCATCCTTTAACTTCCAGAATACTTACCTACAGTTATCAAAACAAGATATTGACTCAAATTCTGAGACTGAAGTGTATAAAGCTTTACATAACACCATAGAGGTGCAAGGTAAACCTTTATATATGGAAAATTTGATAAGCAATTGTTTGGGCATTTGATACAAAATCAAACATATACACAGACTTGCAGGCTCACACACAGCACAAATTCACACACTGACAGATACTCCCTCCATTTCAATTTGTTTGCCCTACTTTTCATTTTAGTCGTTTCTAAAAGAATGTTTCTTTCCCTTTTTGACAACTCTTTAATTTCAACTTTCTACGCTGTATGTTTAAGACGACTACAAGATTAAAGGATATGATAGTACATTCTACATGTCTAAAATTTACTTTCTTTAACTCCGTGTCAAGTCAAAACTAGGCAAACAAATTGAAAGAGAGGGACTATAAAGTTACTTCCAGTCTCCATTTACTCTCTAACCAGTCAGCTAAAAATTGACCATTAACGGTACAATCAACACAATTTGAAACCTTCAAGACTTTGTGCAACTTTAAAGTTAACATAGCATTCAAAAATCTTGGTTTTAAGATGTTTATAGTTCCAAAATAACTTCCACATTCTAATAACAAAAAGGACAAAAAGGAAATATAACAACATATACTTAAACACAGGATAGTCATGAACTAAAGAGATAAAAGAAATACTCACATGAGCTATAGGTATTGTGCCATTGTTGGTGAGTTCAAACTTGTAAGTATCTCCTAATTGAATACCATTTGCATTTCTGAACTGCGTCCATCCCCTTTTAATTCCAAATTGATGTCCTGTTTGCCCTAGCCATACTGACCATGATCTCTGCTTTTCGTCGATAAGAATCATCTCACTTCTACTCATCAAACCATTTGATTTTACAAAATCCATGGGAAGATACTGCACAAATTTATCCCAATATATTAGATCAATACAACATTATCACCAAAAAAAAAGCAAAAGTTTTTACTAAATTTGTTCAGCTCACTCTTACTAAAAGAGCTTTTGTGAAGGCGTAAGGTTTGATAGTGGATATGAAATGTGGGTTGGTATCAGCAGATGTTGAAGCTAGTGTTTGCGACATTGGAGTAGTCACGTCCGACTTCTTATGCCTAAGATGTTTAATTGCTTTAAAGTAACCAATAAAAGAAGAAGAAAAAATCGTTATGCACGCGATATTTGCAACATTAATGAAGAAATCCAACCGGACATCGGTTTGCACATAAAAGTAAATATGCGAATGATTATATCAAGTTGATTTTTACTCAATACTTCTAAAGTCCTCCGGAGTCTTTGCTGAAGCATACCAGAGAAATTTAGTCAGCAAATGTTACTTGAATAGACAACATGCAATGCTGAAGTTTCTCAACCAACGCCAACAAAAGGTCAAGTCCAATTTCAACCATGTTCCTTTTAGGATGTCGAAAGGCCATCAAAATAGAATCCATAACAAGCTTTAGTTACTCGTTCAAAATATTGTCTTTCATGTTCTTTAGGCAACATGTTTAAACAGTTAAAAGGCTGACGGTCTAGAAAGCAGTTGCCGAAGACCATCTTTAGTAACCAAAACACACACATTCACTGCAAAGGTCTTCTACAGAACTATTTTATGCATCTCTATTTCACTCTTTTCAAGAACTTTTATTGATATTATTTGTCAAATATTCTTTATCCCACATGAATTTTCTTTGAAGTTTTTAAATAACAAAATATGAAAAATTGAAAATTTATTCTGATGGAACCTGCAACAGGGTCTTTAATTTAGAGGTCTAAATACATAAACATGAGCCAAAGGCCCCTTTATTTTGGAATATAGCCTATGAAAAATGAAGTACTTTGTTATAACAAGCAAAAGCAACTAAAACGAGAGTACAATATTAAATTCCAACTGTTTGGTTGGGTAAATCTTTTACAGTGAAGTTGTTTGTGAAGGACATGTTTTACAGTTTGGAGAACAAACACTAAATAATTTTATTGAAGATGTCATAGTTTCATGCTGTATATATCAAAGTAAAATGATCGCTGACAAAAAGACAGGTTGCTCAAATAGGAAACTTACTGCAAATTTTTTCTCCATAAGGAACGATCTCAAATGTCACATAATCTCCCTTTTTTAAGTTATTCACAATGCAGAAGTTACTCCATTCACCATATACACGGACACATGAATCATAGGCAACAAGCCTTAAATTCCATGATCTTTGTCTTTCATCTCTTACAATCAGATCACATTTCTTGTTGGTAAGACCGTTTGCGATTGCAAAATGTTTAGGAAGACGCTGAAATGGTTTAAACAATTCGCACATATGATACGGTTCATACTTTTGCTGTACATAACTCTAATGAACAGAGGAGGGAAAATTAAAATGGTGCAAATGATTCCTTTAGCCTGAAATTTCTTGAATTGTTGAGGGGAAATGAGTTTTTGAGACTTACCAAGTAACCATTTGAAATGTAATTTGGTCTGACAATGCACTGATAATGAGATTGACCCCTACAGTTGTGAGTAGCAGCTTCTGCACAGGGTTAGATTGTAGACAAATCCATGTCAAGAAAATCGAACATGACAGAAATGACTACCACCAACACATGATAGAGTCTAAGCATCCACCCCGGACATATATTTGTTAGTTTTTAATTTAAGCTAGTTGACACTTATGCTAAGGTTAAGGGACTCTGCAGATGTTGTTACCTTTGAATTTCACTTTCTTGAAAGTCTCTTCAGCATTATCGACTCCTTCCAGCAGATACTCTGTGTATTCTCTATCACAATGACTTGAATCAAAGATGGAAACTTCAAATTCCATATCTCCTTCATGTTTGAAGACCAAAAAATCTCCCAAATGCAAATCATGCTCCTCTGCAAACTTTTCCCAACCCTCTTCTAATCGCCAGCCGTTCACCTTCACGAGCCACTTTTTCCCCATACTTTTCAGTATTGCATGTTTAATATGGTTCATTCCCTCCAGATACTTCAAGAAATCTATGGGAATTTTCTGCAGTACAACATAAACTTGCCCCAATTAAAGAACTATTGCTTTCAATTTTTTGTGTTTTTTTTCTTCTAGGATAAATCTTCCACCTCCACAACATCATACATGCAACATATAGTAAACAAGGTAAAGATGGAAAAAAAAAACATGACTGGATTACTCACAGGACCAAGATTGAAACCTGGCTGAATCGGTTTGAAAAATTTGAGGTTTCTTTGAAGCGATTTTCATCGCAGTCACTAGATGACTCAAATTCCATGTCTCCTTCATGTTTGAAAATCAACAAATCTCCCAAATTGCAAATCATTCTCCTTAGCAAACATTTTCCAACCCTCTTCTAATAGCCAACTGCTCACCTTCACCAACCACGTTTTACCTGCCCTTCCCAGGATAGCATGTTCATATTGATCGTGTCCATTCAGAAACTTTAAGAAACCTATAGGAATTTTCTGCAGTACAATGCAAACTTAACAACAACATACCCAACGTAGGGGTCTAAGAAATGTAGAGTGTACGCAGAAGACTTTATGTCTACCTTGGAGGTAGAGAAGTTGTTTCAATATAACACAAACTTGCCCAAAATAAACACTAGAAAAAGATACAAAAGAATGTCTTGCTTTCCTTTTTAGTCCATTTAAAAAAGAATGTATGTTTCCCTCTTAACAACTCTTCAAAGACGAGTAAAGAATTACAGAAAAAAAACACGAATCTATTTCTTTCGAAGTGAAACAAAATTTACCTCTGTTGGAACATCAGTATTCCAACATAAATCAAGTGCCACACCAAACAAAGCACACAATTCTATTTCTTCTGAAAACAATGCTTAGAGAAAGAGGAGATGTATTTCAAAAATTTCATAACAAATTCTGAAGCAATGCCGTAGTATATATAGCTAACAAATAAGTATTGACTTATTGTGATAAAAAGGGGTAACATTCCAACAAATAATCAATCAATCAGATAATCCAAATCCGAATTCAAACTGAGCGATGACAAAATGTTTGCCTTCTTCCCAACTCATTAAGTTACAGAGAAGTTCTTTTCTATTTATTCCAAACTAATTCTTCTCCTTCCTCCGATATGGAACAGCATCTCTTCATTTCTCATTCACGGATCTAAAGGCTACGATAATATAATTACTATCATGCATGAAAAGGATACTTTGAAAACAAAAGTACAACACATGCTAATTTCTTTGCCCATCATCAAATGCTTCATATCATCTACAATGACTTCTGTGATGCTTGGCAATTGGCATCCTTAATTCCCAGAATATTTACCTACATTTTTCAAAACAAAACATAGACTCAGTTCTTAGACTGAATTGTACAAAGCTTTACTTACATAACCATAGAGGTCTAAGGTAAACCTTTTATATGGAAAATTTGGTAAGCAATTGTTTGGACATTTGATACAACATGATACAATATCAACAGAAAATAAAAATCGTTTTTGTACACAATACAGGGACTTGCACTCTCACACAGCACAAATTCACACACTGACTATAAGAAATAGAATTACTTCAACAGTCTCCATTTACTCTCTAACCAATCAAGGTCAGCTAAAAGTTTGACAATTAACAGTACAATCAACACAATTTGAAGCCTTCAAAATTCTGTTGCATGACATTCAAAAAACTCACTAAAAATTGCTTTTGGTTCCACAATAACTCCCATATTCTTATAACAGAAGGAACAAAAAGAAAAATAACAACATGCCACACAAGATAGTCATGAAACTAAAGAGAAATAAAGCAATACTCATATGAATTATAGGTATTGTGCCATTGTTAGTGAGTTCAAACTTGTAAGTATCTCCTTCTTGAAGACCATTTGCTTTTCTGAACTGTGGCCATCCCCTTTTAATTCCAAAGTGGTGTTCCATTTGCCCAAGCAACACTGACCATGATCTCTGCTTTTCATCGACAAGAATCATCTCACTTCTACTCATCAAGCCATTTGATTTCACAAAACGCATCGGAAAATACTGCTCAGATTTATCCCAATATATAGATCAATACGCCATTATCACAACAAAAAATAAAAATTAACAAAGGTTTTTACTAAATTTGTTCAGACCACTCTTACCAAAATAGCTTTTGTGAATGTGTAACGTCTGATAGTGGATATAAAATGAGGGTCGGCATCAGCAGATGTTGAAGCTGGTGTTTGCGATATTGGAGTAGTCATGTCCGATGTTTTATGCCTAAGATCTGTTATTGTTTTGAAGTAACCAAGAAAAGAAGAAAAAAGAAACATCAGTCATTATGCACATGATAGTTGCAATATTAATGAAGGTCATTCTTTACTTGGTTTGCTCATAAAAGTAAATATACCAATAATTATATCACAGAGATTTTTATTAAAGTCGAGTCTTTGCTGAAGCATACCAGAGAAATTTAGTCAGCAAATTAGACTTGAATAGACAACATATATGCTGAAATTTCTCTAGCAGTACCAACAAAACGTTTACTCCAATTTCAACCATGTTCCTCTTAGGGTGTCGGAAAATCCATAAAAATAGAATTCATAACAATCTTGAGTCCCCAGTTAAAAGTATATTTCATGCTCTTTAAGCAAACATGTTTAAACAGTTACAAAAACTCACAGTCTACAAAGAAATTACCGATGACCATCTTACCTAACCAAAACACACACATTCACCGCGAAGGTCTTCTACAGAACTAGTTTATGCATCCCTATTACACTCATTTCAAGAAAAAGTACTTCTATTGATACTATTTGACAAATATTGTTTAATCCACATGAATTTTCTTTGAAGGTTTTAAATAAAAAAATATGAAAATTTATCCAAATGGAGACTGCAACAGGGCCTTTAATTTAGAGGTCTCAAAACATAAACATGAGCCAAGGGCAGCACTTCGTTATAAGAAGTAAAATGCAACTAAAAAGAAAGTACAATATTAAATTTTTCAACCGTTTGGTTGGGTAAATTTTTAACAGCGCAGTTATTTGTGAAGAACATGTTTTACAGTTTGGAGAACCAACACCAAATTATTTTGTCGAAGATGCCATATAGTGTCATAGAGTACATATCTAACTAAAAAGATCGTTGACAAAAAGACAGATGTTGCTTAAATGGAAAACTTACAGTGAAATTTCCATATAGGTTTTTCTTCATTAGCAACCGTAAACATCATATAATCTCCCTCCTTCAAGTTATTAACCTAAACTATTTGAAACTTATGTTAAGATTAAGGGACTCTAAATATGTTACCTTTTTCCACTTTCTTTGAAGTCGCATCAACATAATTGCCCTCTTCTTCTTGCAGATACTCTGCGTACTCTCTGTCACAATGACTTGAATCAAAGATGGAAACTTCAAATTCCATGTCTCCTTCATGTTTGAAAATCAACAAATCTCCCAATTGCAAATCATTCTCCTTAGCAAACTTTTTCCAACCTTCTTCTAATCGCCAACCGGTCACCTTCACCAACCACTTTTTACCCCTACTTCTCAGTATTGCTTGTTTAATATGGTTCAATCCCTTCAAATACTTCAAGAAACCTATAGGAATTTTCTGCCAGTACAACATAAACTAGCCCCAATCAAAAAAACTATAGCTTTCAAATTTTAATGGGATAAATTCTTCCACCTCCACAACATCATACATGCAACATATACTACATGTACACTTTTCTTTCTAGTTCATCCAAAAAAAAAATCACCTTTCTATAAATAGAAAAAAGTTCACTTTAAACTTTCCCCTTTCAAAAATCTTACTTTACTTACTTAAACTTAGTATCTAAAGTCAAAATATGTCAAATAAATTGGGACCAAAGGGAGTATTAAACAAAGGAAAGACATACAAAAAATTGAAAAGGATTTTACTCACAATACAATGCTTGTAACCTGGCTGAATTGGTTTGAAAAAACGAGGTTTTTTTGAAGCTACTTTCATGGCAGTCAACAAAAATGCCCTTCCTGTTTGCAAAATCCAAATTACAGTAGATTGTTAAGTAGTAATTCAATTTTCTATAGATACAACATGAAAAAATTTCAAAGTAAAGAAAATACCAATAGTACGAAAATCTTAGTAGCTCAGTTGATTAACTCTCGTAATTTCTTCTCCATTTCCGATTTAGGGTTTACTAAGCGATCAACTGTGAACTCGGATTCTGCTCCTTCTCCATAGCTCCATTTTTTGTGAGTTTTTGCTTGAATAAAATAAACATATCAAAGTTTATTATATTATATAATAATTGAGATTTAATTAATTAAAATAGAATCCTAATTATATAATTAGAAATTTATAATAATCAATTCTAATGATTTCTTTACGTTTGCTTTAAAAATATATTTACAATCCCAAAAATTTAGCTTTTCTAAATACATTAAAAACTTGTTCGAGAGGATAATTATATTTAAGGGTTTGGCCAACCAATAAACAATTGATTGATTAAAGGAAGAATACATCTCGAATTATCGTAAATGGTCTGCAAATATTTTTTGTTATATTTTTGAGACATTGATATTTCCGTCGTTCAAAAACTAGAGTATTTATGTCCTTCTCTCTAATAGAAGACTATAGGGACACGTGACACGATCTTATCCGTCGATCCGTTTTAATAAATGTTGGGTCGGTGAATAAGATTTGACATGTGTATGTTCGTTAGTGTGAAGGGTATATATGTATTAGTTTTTGAAAAGTAGGGGCATTAATGCCTCAAAAATATGATGAAAGATGCATGGCATTTACGATAGTTCGAAAATATCAAATTAGATTTCATATTCTCTTCTTTTACTTCCATTCACTACTAGTCCAATATATTCATCTCCAATCAAACAAAACAATTTTTTTCAGCGCTACGTAAGTTGATATTTTATGTAATTATAAATTATAACAAAAAAACATATGAAAGCCTAATTTTGAGGATGCATGTATGTAAGCGTTTTTTACTTATGATAACAATGTAATTACAACTTTATATTATTTTTTAGTGGGTTAACAGTTTATCCAATAAGAAATTTGAGTAATTCATCACCACACTAGTAAACGATCAACTTAAAAGTTTAATTCATCTACCAACCATTTATGGTTGGCTTTTCGGATATGGTTTTAGACCGTCCTAGAAATTGAAACAGAACAAAAAAAAAAAGACAAACAAATGGAAACATAGCAAGGGAGTAGTAATTATGCATGAAAGGACACATCAAAATAGAAGTAAAACATATAGAACATATTATACAACTTATCATCAAAGTTTTTTTTTTGGTTGTTGTTGAGATATAGCAAAATGCAATAGATCCAAAAACATTATATCCACTTGCTTTAGTGCCTAGTTTCCTTTCCCATCACCAACATCATCATATTTACCTACAAATGTTACAAACAAAACATAGCCTAATTATATAATCTAAAAACTTTGGAGACTAAATTGTATAATCATGAAAAAAGAAAAAAACATATATCAATTGTTATACATTATGAAACATCAAAGTCATGAAACTAAAAGAAGATTCAGAAAAAGAAAAAAAAAACTTACAATGGAAATGAACTAAAGGTATTGTGCCATTGTTGATGAGTTCAAACTTGTAAGTATCTCCAACTTGAACACCGTTGGCTTCTATGAACTTTCGCCATCCCTTTTTAATTCCAAAGTGATACTTGTCGATTTGCCCAAGGCACATTGACCATGATCTCCGTTTTTCATCCATGATAATCAACTCGCGTTTATCCAGCAAGCCGTTTGATTTTGCAAAAGCTATTGGAAGATACTACTCAAATATATAGATTTAATACCGAATTATCATTAAAAGAAAGAAGAAAAGTAGCTAAGGTAGTTGTTGCTGAATTTGTTAAAATCACTCTTACCAGAACAGGAAATCTGAGGGTGTAAGGTTTAATAGTAGATATAAAATGAGGGTTGGCATCAGCAGCTTCTTGTGATTTAGGAGTAGTCACGTCCGAGGTCTCAAGCGTAGCATCTGTTATTGCAGAAGAAACATTACAATCATAAATGTAACAAAAAGACGGGGGGATATTTGACATAAACTACAAAAGTTCTTTCCAAACCTTCATCTGACATTCTTTCAGCATCCGAATCTTTCTTCTTTACTTCATCCTGAAGAAACGGGCTTTCTCTCAAATCTAGTTTTGTTAATTCAAACAACATCAGTACTGAAACTAAAGATGAATTTAAAACCAAAAAAAAAAGATGATAAAGTCGAAACAGAAAGGAACTGTTATCTGTTGGGCACATACAGTCATACAGATACAAACTTTTCTGATATTACTCGATGAAGTGATTAATAGCAACATACTTTTGAAGAGTACCGAGGTTAGCTCAAAGGGGTTTCTACCACACACTCAAAAGCTTCTCACCGTAACAGTAATTTTCTAAAGGAAAAAAAGCAGTGCGATATTATATACTTCCTTCACACTCTTCAAAAAAGAGAAGTCTCTAGACAGTAAGACTTTTGTCCTCTGTTGAACCAGGGGAACTGAACATTTGTAGGATCTCATAAGAATTTGAGAAATATGTAAGATAAAGTAATAAGATCCACAACAGAATACTATACCGAATATGTACGATCAGGGCAACAAGATGGAATCGATTAGAAGATGGCATATCAATCAAGGTCAGTTAACAGAACATGTGTTGACCAAAAAATTCAGAGGATCAGTGACAATGACAAAGTAAGAGTAGATGAAGCACACACAAAAAGACCCCTCGATGCCCCTAAAACCGAGTCAACAGCTCTACCCCACATACTATCTGCGTCCCGACAACTCCAGGAAGCCCTCATAGCAACCAACTTCTCCCTAATCTCCTGAGAATTTGGCCTCAGTAATCTAATCCTTAGTTGGTCATATGCGACCCTCTTCTTCTTTCTCTTGGTCTTTCTAATGTGTGTCTAGCAATTATAATTCAAACCATAGACTAGATAGAATCCTTGTACTATAATTTCATCTCATCGTAATTAATTTAAATAAGTAAACAGCAGAAAACAGGATGAGATAGTTTTAAGATAAGGTCTTAGATGAAAAACTTGCCATGAAATCTGAATATAGGTGTTTCTCCATTGGAAACTATCTCAAACATTAAGATATCTCCTTCCTTTAAGCATTTCGTACGGCTGAATTCATGCCATCCACTTCCAATGAAGGTGTTTTTGCCATTTGTATGCACACCAAACGTCCATGATCGTTGCTCATCCCTCACAATTATCTCACATTTCCTGTTGCGGAGACTATTTTCTTGTGCAAATTGTTTTGGAATACACTGAAACAGTTTGTAAGCAGTCGCAAATAAACAATCAATATGGATGTTTGTTTTAATCTTCCAAGTTGTCAAACAGATAATTGTTCTCATAGGCTTATGTAGGAAACAAATTCATCTTTCTTTGTTTTTTTTCCAGCATAGTAGTAAAAGTATAATGTACTTGTGAAATTACCAGACAATACTTTGAAAGGCAATAAGGTCGAATTGTACAAATGAAATGAGAGCGACTGAGATGCTTGTCCTTATAAGCAGCTTTTACATTGGAGAAACCCTTGCCTGATTTCTTGACTTTGCGCTTTGGTTTTTCTGTTGCATTTGTTAATTACACACAGAGTCATGTCAGAAAAGAATATATATAAAAAAAGGAAGTTACACATTTGACTGCTCGGCCAATAATATTTCTAAATGAAGTAAGCATCATCAAAATTGTTCCTCATATTCATACCGGCAATGCATCGTTACTCTTCTTATATACTTTGTATTAAAATAAGAAAATTAATTTCAATATAGGAAACAAATAACAGAACAAAAGAAGTTCACCTTTGGATTTCAATTTCTTGGAAGACTCTTCAACAATACAGGCTTCTTCTTCTTCTCCTCCGTGAACATGAACTCCTTGTTCGTATTCTCTCTCACAACAACTTGAATCAAAGACGGCGACCTCAAATTCCATGTCTCCTTCATGTCTGAATATCAAAACATTTCCTAATTGTAAATCATGGTCCTTTACAAACTCTTCCCAACCATCTTCCAGTCGCCGTCCATTCACCTTCACGGACCACTTCTTACTTGCCCGTCTTAGCAATGCATATTCATTTTCTTGTCCCTTCAAATACTTGAAGAAACCTATAGGAATTGTCTTCAATACAACAATTTCGTATGATTAAAATGGCCTTGTCCCGTCATTATCAATTTCAACACACAATACAAAATACGCATGTGAACATTCCTAAAATGTCAACAACAACAACACACCCAGTAAAATCCCACAACTGAGGTCTCGGGAAAGTAAATTGTACGTAGACCTCACCACTACCTTATGAAGTTAAAGAGGTTGTTTCCAAAAAACCACGTAGCTCCAAAATGTCGACAAATATTAAATTCGTAATCCATGATTTCAAAAGTGAAGGTTGACCCTACCATGTTTAAACCATGGATCATTCTACAATGCTAATACTATTTTCTTAGAGGTGTCAAATAGACCAGTTTAACCGAATTTTAGCGAGCCGCTACATTGTCCAATCATTAACCCACCCAAACATAACTTGGCCTGAAATGTTTTAGTCATAACGCGATAAACTTAACTCAACCCTCACAACACTTACCAACAATCTTTTCTCTATAATGACTATGATCAACATATCAAACAAAAAAAGGTCCTTTTTTAGGGAAAATTACTCGATATAGCAAACGCATACACTATGAGTTTGAGTATACAACGTCTTACCCACTCTGCCAGAACTGTCTTATACTACGATATCGAACAAACTCAACTTATAGATCCACTATGAGGAATCGTATTTTACATGAAATAGCAAAACTTCAAATAAATTACAACACATAGCAAGACTTTTGAGTATCAATTTTCCATGTATCAGTATACCAATCTGCACTATATTTATCTAACTATACAAGTATTTTTCACCCAAATAATCAATAAACGAAGATTCACAGCATGCAACAGACCAAAAAAAAATCAAAATTATTACTTACAATTTGTTGCTTACAACCTGGCAAAATAGGTTTTAAAAAATGAGGTTTTTTTGGAGGGATTTTCATGGAAAAACCCTGCGCTTTAAATCAGGTACTTTCTACAGGTTCATAATATTGCCCTTTGGGTTTTATTTTCGCCCTATATTTATAGGAAAAGTTAACAAAAATAATTACAAATTTTAGCGATACTTTTTATTTATTACCATTTATAACAATATTATGTTGAATCTGTAATATGTATTAAAAATGAATTAAGTATGCAATAAATATATATTATAACTATTTTTAGGCTTTTAAAATGAATTATTCATCAATAAAATTTGTATTATATGTGAATAATAATTTATCATCTGTAATATGAATTAAAAGTGTAGTATAAGTGTATTAAAAGTGATCAAGTGAGAAAAGAAAAGTTATTATAAATATTAAATATTTTTTATTTATAGTATATTTATATAAGTTTTTCATATTTATATTTGAGAAAAGGGTTAGCAAAATATTTCTATTATACCAAATATTTAAATATTTATATGTGCCTACATGGATAAATTACTATTCATAATTATTCGATATTTTTATGTTTAGGTGGACACATATATATCTTTAAAATAGTGTCTTTCCAGAGTTTGATATTGTTACAGCAATTTCGATCAAAGTTCAGATATATTTCAGATCATTTTTTCTTTATATTCTCTTGGAGATTAGTTTAAGAGATTAATTAATTATATTTATAATTTAACTTTAATTATTTTTATTTACAAGACTAGTTTGTCAATAACTAAAAAGGATATCATTGAAAATTGATGTTCAATTTATGTAATAATTTTTTTTTCTTTAATAGACGTACATTATCTTACAAATTCACTTACTATGGAACTGTGCGACTAACTATCAAATTTAAAGTATATTTTTTTAAAAAAAATTGATTTCAAACTTTTTAAAATGTAAAACTTTAACCTATAAATTTATATTTCATAAAAATTCATAATTTTTAAAACTTTATTAACAATAAAAAAGAAGATTCATTCTCGTCTTTAGTAAGTATATATGAAAGGATTTTATCGAACATTAGCTAGTTACTACAATTATTAATTCATTACACTAATGAAACTTTGTAAATTTATTGATAGATATGTTAGAATATTTAAATATTTTATTTATGAATCATAATGTGCTCATTTGGTAACATAGTATGAGAATAAGGAAACTTTTGATAGTTCTTCACAAAATATGAAGAGTTTTATGCTTATAAAAAACACAATTTAATTAAGAAATTCAAATTATATGTCCAAACAAAATTTTAAACTTTAAATTAACCTAACTATCATGTGATATTCGGAGTTGTAACAACTAAAGAGGTATCAAGCTGCTAAAACGTTTGATTTGCAGGACGAAAACATAAACTATTACTCCTTTCTTTTTAATTTATTTGTCTGATTTAACTTAACATAGAGTTAAAGAAAATAAAAAAAAAACTTTTAAATATTGTAATCTAAGACTAATGATACGTAGAATATACCAATATTCTTCAACCTTATAGTTTTAATTATGTCGTGTAGAAAATTAGAATTAGTGATATACTATGAAGGAAAAAAAATATGACACACAAATTGAAACGAAGAGCGTATAAAGAATGAGAAGTTGTAATGTCAAATCTCTAACAACAACCAAAAAAAAACAAAAACCATCCATATACACTCTTACATGGAATAATGCTAACAAAAACATGTTTGGCTTTTGAAGAACAACAATCAAAGTACATTTTCTTTAGATTAGCCAACATGTAATAAATCCAAAAAAAAAACAAACAAAAAACATCATATTCTTCAGTATTCCTTGTGGTTTCTCTCATGCTTTTTCATCCTTTACAGCATATTTACCTGCAAAAATATATTTTTAGCATAACCTAAGACTCCCATTGCTATGTAAAACCTTTCGAGATTCGTTCAATATCAGAAGAAACACATTTTCATTTCACAACCACAGGAAAAGTCGTTTATCACGAAAACAAAGGGAGGTAAAGAAGTAACTCACAAGGGAAATACACTACATGTATTGTTCTGTCGTCGATGAGTTCAAACTTGTAAGTATCTCCAACTTGGACACCATTTGCTTTCATGAACTTTTGAAATCCCTTGGTAATTACAAAGCGATCCACCCTTTGAGTTAGCTGAACTGGCCATGATCTCTGTTTCTCATCTGTGAGAATTATCTTACGTCGATTCATCAAGCCAGTTGATTTTATAAAAGCCATTGGAAGATACTGTATGTGTATCAATACAAAAAAAGAGAAGTTACTACCCAAGACCTTAACTATTAAGGAGTCGTTTGGTAGTTGGTTTGAATCATGCATGTATTAGCTAAGTCATTTTCTACACCCCGCATAAGCTAATGCACAATTTCTGTAATAACTTACAGAAATTGTTGTGTAACTTATGCAGACATGAATACATGAATAAGTTGTCTCTTTACTAGCTACCAAACGACCACTAAAGGCTTAATAAAAGTCAATTTGGATTGCTCACCAAAACGGATCTGCTGATGGTATTAGACTTGATAGTAGCAATAAAATGAGGGTTCGTGTTAGCAGATGTTGGAGTAGGTAGTTGTGCTTTTGGAGCAGGCACATCCGAGGGCTCAATCCTGAGACCTGTTCTTCATTCAAAAAAGATGCATGAAAAAGAAATACGAGTTTTTTGATACAACTAAAGTCACTGCAGAAACTACCAAAAGAAGTCACATAATCAAGGGTATGCTCTTGTAATCCAAACCTTGAGTATAAACTCTTTTAACATCCAAATTAGGCTTCTTTTGTTCGCGCTGAAGTGATGCATTTGCTCTCAAATCTAGTTTTCAAATTGAAAAAACATTATTAACTGAAATCAAAAATGAATTTGAATCCAAAAATAGAACATTAAACTGAAGTAGAAAAACTATAAGGATGCAAGGGTAGGAAGAAAGAAACATGTCAGTTCATTGTAACTATGATTTATAAGAAAGAAGTAGATAAATCAAGGGAAAAAGTGGATGAAATATAAGAGAAAGGGGCTTAGATGAGAAACTTGCCATGAAATTTCAATACGAGTCCCTCTCCCTTGGAAAACATCTCAAACATTACGCGATCTCCTTCCTTTAAGAAATTAGCAGAGCAAAATTCATGCCATATGCCCCCAATGAAAATGTTGTGCGCAGTAACATACAGCTTAAACATCCATGACCTTTGCTGCTCATCTCTTATCTTTACCCTACATTTCCTGTCAAGGCCATTTTCCCGTGCAAATAGTGTTGGAACATGCTGAAACAGTTCATGACCAGTTGCATGTAAATAGCTCATACATATGCTTCAACACTTCCAAATTATTAAAGAAACAAATACATAGTTCTCATAAAGAAATGAGTTCATCTTCTTCTTTTTTTAATAGTAACAACAGAAGTAGAATCAAATTTCAACTTACCAGCAAATACTTTGAAATGCAACTGTGTGTGATGGTACAAATGAAATGAGGGCGAGACCAAGGCATGTCCTTAGCAGCTTCTACATCAGGTAAATCCTTGTTTGATGACATGACGCAAGGCTTTGGGCTTTCGGTAGCATTTTCTAATTACACAAAAAGTCGTGTCAGTATTTGAAGAAAGCACTTTATGACCAAAAGAACATATCAATAGCTCAACAAGATAGAACCTTTCTGAAGATAAGTTTCCTACATGAAGTCTAAGAAGCTGATTAATCTACTAATTTCACGTATCAGTTTTGTATTCTCATTCACATATCATGTGTCGCTGTATATACATTTACTCCTCTTGCAAACTGAATGAGAGGCTGGCACATTCAGTCTGACAGGTAAAATTTGGAAACATGATGAAGTAAGTGGCTTTGTTAGGATGTCTGCAACATTGCCTTTGGCTTACTAGGTTTATATTAGTGTTTCTGGATAGTTGTGTTATGATGTCTTGTCGGGACTTATTTGGTTATTTACGCCACTCGAAGGTTAGGTTAATACGAGCACAGCAATGGGCAGAGCAGTGTGCTTGGATTTGAATATGGATTCATCTATCAACAAGAAAATGGAACTCCAACTTGGTTCTCTGAGGAAAATGAAGACAAAGGATGCCCTTCTTTTCTAGATCTTCGAACATATTCTATTAAAGCCATATAATGACTCATTTCATGAAACATGTTGTATTTTTCTTCAGAGACTTACAAAATAATCTTAATGAAGGTAAAGCTCTCTTCTCACAACAAGGAGAAGTATCTAATCAGCTCCTGAAGATATTTGGAGCGCTCGCGTGAAATTAATGAGTTTTGAGACTTGCCACGAAACATATATAAGTAAGGCAATATGGTCCAATGACAAAAAGGCTTGTGAGTAGCACTGTAGCAGCTTCTGCATGGGAAGAATTAGCCTTGTGTGACAACTCGATACCGGGGCTAAGTTATTCTCTTCCATTGTCAGTAAATTAAATTTCTGATATTACTCAATGAAGTGATAAAAAGTCTTCTAAAAGTTTAGCAAGATGCTTTCTAAAAAGCTGCCCAAAGTCCGCATACATCCCCCACCCCACCCCCCGACCCTACTTGTGGGACTATACTGGGTATGTTGTTGAGTCTGTGTACACCCCCTGACCCTACTTGTGGGACTATACAGGGTAGTTGTTGTTGTATTTCTTTTTAGGCAACATTCTTCCATCATAGACTCATTAAAACCAAGGGCACTAAAAAGAACAATGAAATGAAGGCATGGTAGCAGAAGGAAAAGAAGCAGAACCGCGAAAGTAAGATCCAAAGCACAACGCTATGCCAGATAAGCAGAGGAGCCAGGGCAACCAGTAGCAGAACCGCAGACCTAAAAGAGGCAAAAGCAGAACAGTTCGTGGCACTGGTTACACGCATAGACTTGAAATTTTTTGGAGGAGCGGAGACAAAAGGACAAGTAAATGTAGATGAAGCGCACACACACAAGATAAGACTACTCAGTTAGGAACTGTATATGTTGGGTGTTCAAAGAAAATGTCGTATGGGAGAGGATCCAGGGTTGGAGTTCAACGATATTCTGAGCAGTAAAAGGATAAAATGACTACTTTTTTGTGTGGTATCTAAAAATACTACATCTTGGATAGGTTCTTTTTTCTTATTTGATTGGTTGTCTAAAGTGTGTAATACAGTCTACATGCCTATACATTTTTCACTTAATAGAAACAGGAAATGGTGGCGTAAAATACTATCTTGATTTGTATTTCATCTCACTTAAATAAACATACTAGTGCCTATGACAATAAAAAAGATCATCAACGAAATAAGAGGCTGGTAAGATGAGAAAACTTACCCTGAAACTTCCTCATTGGAGTTTTTGCATCAGTAACAACTTGAAATTTCCATATAGGTGTCTCTCCACCAGTAACAATCTCGAAGATAATACGATCTCCCTCCTTTAAGCAACAATCAGCACTAAATTTACGCCATCCACCTCCAATATAGGTTTGAGTTTGACAAGAATGTAGCTTTACATTCCACGACCTTTGCTTTTCATCTCTTATAAGCAAATCATACTTCTTATTCGTGACATGACCGTTTGCAAATGCAGCATGCTTAGGAATGCGCTGACATGGTGTATAACAATTTGCACACATCATTAAACAGTTCATAATCTTCATAGTCTCACTTAACAGAGACAAAAAGTTAACAAAAATGGTGGACATGCTTCCTTCAGCCTGAAGATTCTTGAAGAGTTCACGTGAAATTCATGAGTTTTGAGACTTACCAAGTAACCATATGAAAAGCAACATGCGGTAATATTGCATATAAAACGAGAATGGCCAAAAGACTTGTCGGTAGAAGCTTCAGAATGGGAAGAAGCCTCATCTGACGACTCAATGCTGGAGCTCGATTTTTCTGTTACATCATCAGTAATCAAATTTCTTAAAAGGGATTAAATGGTACAAGGATGATGAGGATCAATATAGCCAACTTAACTTATTTGAGATTGAAGCCTAGTTGCTTGCATTTATCATGATATTAAATTATCTCTACACTAATTTTTTTTGTCTTAAAACAGAAGTTAAGCACGCGGAATAGAGCAGGAATAGGCCTTAAATAACTTCACCTTTGAATTCAAAATCCATGGAAGTCTCTTCAGTAGTATGAACTACTTCTTCTACTTCCTCTTCTTCTTCGTCATCATCATCGTCTTCTTTTTCTTCTTCTTCTTCTTCTTCTTGTTGTCGTTGTTTTTGTTCTTGTTCTACTTGCAAATACTCTACATATTCTCTGCCACAATGAGTTGAATCAAATATGGAAACATCAAACTCCATATCTCCTTCATGTCTGAAAATCAACAAATATCCCAACTGTAAATCATGATCCTCGACAAACTTTCTCCAGCCTTCTTTGAATCGCCGGCCATTCACTTTCACCAGCCACTTTTTACCAGCACTTTTCAGTAATGCATGTTTAATATAATCCTGTCCCCTTAAATACTTCATGAAACCTATAGGAATATTCTGCAATGCAACAATATGTATAATCAGAATAAGCCCCAATATGATATCCTCCTTTTTTATAAGCCAGAAATTTTAAATGGAAGTGTAGAAGACACTACACTTATAACTGTCTCCTTCCCAAACCAGTTGAAATCGACTATATGAACTGTCACTTATTCATTTTAGCTTGTTTCATATCATTGTACAACAACATATTCATTGTAATCCCACAAGTGGATTCCGGGGATAATAGAGTGTAAGAAGACCTCACAACTCAAGGAAGAAAAAGGTCAAAACAGGTCGGAAAACCAAAATGGAAGTTAAAGGACACTACACTTATAACTATGTATCCGTCCCAAACATGTTAAGATCGACTATATGAATTCTCACTTATTCATTTTAGCCCATTTCATATCATCGTACAACAACATATTCATTATAATTCCACAAGTGGATTCCGGGGATGATAGAGTGTACGAAGACCTCACAACTCAAGGAAAAAAAAGGGGTCAAAACAGGTCAGAAAAACAAAATGGAAGTTAAAAGACACTACACTTATAACTATGTATCCGTCCCAAATAAGTTGAGATCAACTATACGGATTCTCATTAATTCATTTTAGCTCATTTCATATCATCGTACAACAGCATATTTATTATAATCCCACAAGTGGTTTTCGAGGATGATAGAGTGTACACAGACCTCACAGCTCAAGAATAAAAAAAGATGAAAACAGGTTTAAAAAAAAATGAAAGTTAAAAGACACTACATTTATAAGTTATGACTATGTCTCCGACCCAAACAAGTTCAGATCAACTATATGAATTCCCACTTACTCGTTTAAGCTCATTTAACATCATCGTACAACAACATATTCATTGTAATCCAACAAATGGCTTCCGAAAATGATAGTGTACACAGACTAGGAGTGGCAAAACCAAAACCAACCCGCCCAACCCGACCCAACCCATTTAGGTTTGGGTTGATTATTGACCCGTTTAGCCCAACCCATCACTATGTAACCCAAATTGATTTTTGAAAAAAAACTTAACTAAAACAAAATAATACTACTATCCAAACAACGGAAAATGCACAAGTAAATCTAGACGGTGACAGAAATATTTCAGAGACACACTTTAACTAAATTAAGATTTTATATCACAAAGCATTTCGAGCAAAAAAAAAAAACAAGAAAGAAGAAAGTATTACTTACAAGTCCATCCATGAACCCTGTCAAAATAGGTTTAAAAAAATGAGATTTTTTTGAAGGAATTTTCATGGAATCCAAAAAATTGATGTAATTTTAGAGCAGAGAAAAGATGATTTCTCTTTTGGTTTTCCCATATTTATATATAAACCGATTTTTTTTGAAAGTTTTGACAAAATGGAACGAAAAACTTCAGCTTTTTCATATCAGAACTGTCTCTGTAAGCAAATACTGCTAAAAACGAAGGAAAAATATCGTCTCTGTTTTCAAAAATGATTCATTCTACTTGTAACTTGTACTACTGACTAGATTAATAAATCGAAGGTCAAAATTATTCTTAAACTATATTTCGTATCAAAAATATTTTTTTCATTGAATTATTGAGCCACACCTGATCACAGGGGCGGGTTTATCTTGTATGGACAGAAAATCATATTATTTATACATATATATAGTAGATGTCGAATTTCCTTCGATTATCTATTTTTACAAATTTTGAACCTCCTTATTGAAAATTTTGGCTAATACACGTCTTAATTAAACTGAGGTCCTATTACCTCCTTAAATTTATTTTTTTTAATAATTATGTATATCTTTTATCTTACGTGGCACACTCTTTGACTTCATGCGAATAGGAAGCGTCACAGCCACCTCCGATGTTGATCCGCAGCATTAGTTTGAGAAAGTCGTTTGGTTTGGCTGGTTACATCCAATGTCTCCTACGAGGCTGCCTTAAAGTCCTTTTTGTCTAGGCATAGGTATAGCCCTTTTTGAATACATTTGACTTGGTGCTCACTTGTAGAAAAATTCCCCGTTCACTGTGCCCGCTCCTTTAAATTTAAAGGATGACCGCTTTCAAGCTTACCTTATTATTAGAGAAAGGTTTGAAATGAAGTAGCTCGCCAAAAAGATGTCAATACGATACAAAAGTTGTTCATTGTCTTACTGAAATATTATAGTGAAATGTGAAGATATATCATGGTAAATCTTAAAATATTATAGATTTAGTTTTAGGATTATAAAATATTATATAAAAACGATTTATTTGTAAATATATAGAGACTTGTTTGACAATTATTATTTACATGTTAGCCCTTAAATAAATAGTATAAAGACAACATTTATTTATAAAATCATCAAACAAAAACCAAAGCTTTCTGAAGTTATTATGTGTTTTCTCCCTATTTTCTAAAGCGATCATTTTATACAACTTTGTGTTATTCTTACAATAACCTGTATTTATAAGGTTAATAAACAGAAACAGAAATAAGATGAAGCAGAAAAAATATAAAATACAAGAATTAATCCGAGCCCACAGAAACTACCGTGTGTCCTTAAGAAATTTAATCCCCTCACTGTACCTAAGGTTATGGATTAATTTCTCCCAAGATAAAACGGATTAAACCTGTTAAAGAAACAGCGGTACCTCAAACTTCTTTAACTTCAACGAACTTAAGAACAACAACAAGTCACACAGACTCAGTCGATCGACACTTTGATTTTTTATTTGAGAGAAAATAAAATGCAGAGAAAGAAAAAAATTTCAATATTTTAAAAATCGAAAATTGACTTGTTTTATAGTCATTTTCAGCAAGAAACATGTCTGTTCAGTGAAATCTGTTCAGACCCATTTGATCCAGAAAGTTGTGTCTGTTAGGAAAATAACGACCTTTCGGCGCGACGGCGGCGTGAGGGGCATCTTCTTCTTAGCTCTTTAAGAAGTAATGGAAGTGTTTCCTTCTATAAGGACAACAATTTCCCTTTCTTTTGCCGATATGGGCGAAATGACTTTTCATTTGCACTTTGCAAATGACTTTTCATTTTCCTTCCAAAGTAGTTCCCTCACTTTTCATATTCTCTCTTTTATTTTCGCATTCACACTTGCTAAATCCAACACTTTTTTTTATCAAATTTAATGGTTGAATGATTTAACCGTTAGATTCGGTCGAGTTGATATATGGAGATACGATTCATAGCACAATTTGTATATAATCTGTATATATCGACTATAAAAAGTTGATTATGAGTCCATCTAGTTTTCCTTGTATATCACTAACTGCTTATTTATATTTGTCAATGGCTTCTTTGATGCTTCGTCATCATTCCTAGAATATTTACCTGCAAAATTTTGTAAAAACACACACTAAATAATCATTGAAATAGAGTTGCATAACATGGAGGAACATAATGAAAAGATGGGAAGTATATATACTCGCAATGGAAATATGCTATAGGTATCGTGCCATTGTCGATGAGTTCAAACTTATAAGTATCTCCGACTTGGAAACCATTTGCTTCTCTGAACTGTCGCCATCCCTTGGTAATTGCAGTGTGATGTCCCATTGGTGCTAGCACTACTGACCATGATCTCTGTTTCTCATCTCGCAGAATCATCTTACAACGTCTATTCACCAAGCTATTTGACTTTGCAAAAGCCGATGGAAGATACTGCTCTCCCAATCAATGGCGCGTTATAACAAAAAGTGAAGAAGAGGAGAGTAACTACTGCAGAAGATCTTATAGCTTATAAGGGCTTAACTAAAGTTAAATACAAATTACTTACGATGAAAGGACTGTTGATGCAATGGGGATTGATAGTAGAAACAAATTGAGTGTTCGCGTTATCACATGTTGAAGCAGGTACATCTGCTTCATTACTTCGGGCTGAAACTCTTCTAGCGTCCAAATTAGGCTTCTTTTCTTCTGGCTGAACTGATGCATTTGCTCTCGTACCTAGTTTTTAAATTGAAATGTTTTTAGTCAGAACTGAAATGAAAGACGAATTCTAAACCAAAAGCAGTTTTTTGTATAGTAAAACAGCTTTTTAAGTCTAGAAGTTCATATACGTACCAATTTCCATCTCTATTAGACTATCAGTCAGAAATAAAACGTGTATAAGTTGGAGGAACGTAATGTAAAGAAAGTAAGCATATACTCACGATGAAAATACGCTACAGGTGTTGTGCCATTGTGAATGAGTTCAAACTTATAAGTATCTCCTACTTGGACATCATTTGCTTCTCTGAACTGTCGCCATCCCTTGGTAATTGCAAAACGAGGTCCAACTTCTTCTAGTTGCACTGACCATGATCGTTGTTTCTCATCCTTGAGAATCATCTTACAACGTCTCATCAAGCCATTTGGTCTTGCAAAAGACAACGGAAGATACTGCTCGAGTTCATTCAAATAATGTAGATCAATTCCATGTTGCCACAATCACACAAAAGGAAGTATATCGAATATTAAGGGCTTAACTCAAATTACTTACGAAAAGAGCTCTGATGATGGCATAAGGATGGATAATTGAAACAAATTGAGCGTTGGCATTGGCAGATGTTGAAGCAGGTACAGTTGCTACTTCCTTTCGGGATGAAACTTCTTCAGCATCCAAATTAGGCTTCTTCACTTCGAGTTGAAGTGATGCGTTTGTTCTCAAATCTAGTTTTAAGTTGAAAATAATAACGTCAGAACTGAAGTATAACTAAAGATGAATCTAAAACCAAACGTTAAGTTTAAGTAGAACACAGATGAAATTTAAGAGAAGAGGCTCAGATGAGAAACTTGCCGTAGAATCTCAATACAGGATTCATTCCATTATCAACTATCGCGAGCATTATCTGATCTCCTTTCTTCAAGCAATTTGCAATGCAGAATTCACGCCATTGGCCTTTAATGTAGGTGCGTGCACCAGACGAATATAGTGCAAATGTCAAAGACCTTTGCTCATCCCTTATCGTTATAGTACATCTCCTATTCATGAGACTGTTATCCCGTGCAAATTGGACTGGAAGTTGCTGAAACAGTTTTCAAACCAATAGCACAAAAACAGTAGTTCATAACATAACGATTTCGTTTTTTCCCCTTTTACTTGGTAGAATTTAGTTTCGAAACTTACTACATGGCCCCTTGTAAGGCAATAAGGTGTGACAGTAAAAATGAAAGGAGGGCGATCGAGAGGCATGTTCTCTGCAGCTTCTACTTCGGGGATAATCTCATTCGACTTGACGTTGAGCTTTGTCTTTTCAGTTGTTTTTGCTAGTAATAACAAAAAAATACATATAAACGATATGACAGAGAAGAGTTATGAATAGTTTAACATGATCAAACATTTGTCGATGGCAATCTTTCCTGCTATGTACAGCATAGTAAAACTGCTTTTCGACAGGAAACCTTGTAAAGACTGTATTAACGTCTAGCCTATTATCCGAGCCTATGTACCAAAGGGTGTAGCTTTGTGGCCAATGAAGCAGGATGAGCTTAGGTTCAAATCCCGGTTGAACGCAAAAAAGAAAAAGAAAGAAACTAGTCATGATTTTGTCCCATTTACCCAAGTCTTGATGAACAGAGTTACTATACAGCGCTCTCATACTATATACAAAATGAGATATATATAGATACCTTACGTCTAACTACATAACTATACAGCGCTCTCATACTATATACAAAATTCAAAGTGGAATTGTCAAGCTCATTCAAGAGGAAATACGATTTCACCCACGTAGGACCATTATGATCGGAAATACTTACTCAAAGTCAACAAGGCGAATATGATTCATATATATAGAGAGGCAAATGAATGTTCAGATCACAGACATGAAAGGGAAGACGCGATCAATGAAATGGACTTATGAACGATTTGAAGTAGTTCAAAAAATTTCGATGTATAATTGAAATAAAACACAAGAGAGCTGAAACAGAGAACAAATACCAAACCTTGTGATATAATTTTGTTGCAGGTATGATTGATTTCCTCTCCTCCTTTCGGAGTCTGTTCGTATACTCTCTCAAAGTGATTTGAACCGAAGATGGAAACTTCAAACTCGAAATCTCCTTCATGTCTGAATATCAAGCAATCTCCCAACTGTAAATCATTTTCTTTCGCGAATATGGCCCAACCCTCATCTAATAATCGTCCGTTCACTTTTACCTGCCACTTCTTATCAGACTTTCTCAATATTGCATGTTCTTGATTACATCCTTTCAAATGCTTGCAAAAAGCTACAGGGATTTTCTGCAAGATACATATCGTTCTATAAGTACTTAAAAACCTATGATGCTCGGACTTTTCAAAAAGTGTCATCAGGTACGTGTCGGATTCTTCAAAAGTAAGCGCATATTAGGAGGATCCGACATGGCTGCAACAACATTTTTTGGAGAGTTCGAGCAACTTAGCTTAAAACACTCCAATCCACTAAATATAAAGATTATTGCAAATGAAAAATCATCAATAATCCTTAATAGATTCAAAAAAATTCTCAAATCACTTAACTTGGATTCGTAACGTGTAAGATTCATATATACCATGGATTTCTAAGGGTTCAAAATTCAGACCAGAGTCAAGATTTCAACTTTACGAGTTTTGAATTTAAAACAACGAGTTCAAGTAGTACTAATAACCAAAATCTAAATTTAGTATACAGATATACTGTTTGAGCAAAATCTACTCTTTTTAACGAATTTTACATACACCCCTACCAACCCAAGAATAGATTTTCCAAAATATATATATATATATATATATTAAAAATTAATCCTTTATTCCCAAATTCCCAAGTTATATGAGGTAACAACATCAACTCCCATTAAAAAAACTTAAACAAAATTCTTCGATAATTTCTCCGCGGAGATAGAGATACTATTTTCGATAATAACAAAAAATATAATAAGAAAAACTCACAATTCCATGCTTGAAATTAGGCAAAATAGGTTTAAAGAAGTGAGGCTTCTTTGGAGCAAATTTCATAGCGCTCTTCGATGATTTTTTTCTTAATAGAAAGTAAATTTATATGTTTTATTGATTTATTAAGTATTTTTTTGACTTAAATGATAATGAGAACTAAATAAGTTAATTTTTTTCTTTATTTGATTAAGTATTTTATTATTTTATTCCTTAATAACATTTTAAATTTTCGAAATAAACTATATAAAACGTAAATCCTATATGTATGGTTCAATTTCAAATGTTATATCAAAATCTAACCTTAATTAATTTGGTTTTGATTTATACCATTATAGTTTATAGCACCATATTTCGTTATTTTAAAACCATAATGATATTCTAATGCTCATATTTTTTAACTACAAATTTCGATTCGGAATCATTTTTAAATTTTCAAACTATATCCATCGAAAATACTTGTTTTTCATTTCTGGTTAAAGAACCTCTTTCTAATTGCTCTGAAACGATAAAAATATTCTCCGAAAGAAATACGGAATTTATTTTTAACTATAAATTTCGATTAGGAATCATTTTTAAATTTTCAAGCTATATCCATCGAAAATACTTGTTTTGCTTTTCTGGTTAAAGAATCTCTTTCTAATTGCTCTGAAACGATAAAAATATTCTCCGAAAGAAATACGAAATTTATGCTCATATTTTTTAGTTACAAATTTCGATTCGGAATCATTTTTAAAATTTTAAGCTATATCCATCGAAAATACTTGTTTTGCTTTTCTAGTCAAAGAATCTCTTTCTAATTGCTCTGAAACGATAAAAATATTTTCTGAAAGAAATACGGAATTTGTGAATGTGGTATAACAATGGTAAGTTTTTGGAGGCCAAAAAAAATAATTGAATTGCATAACAGGCTACCAAAGAAAAAACTTACCCGCACCGGATGTTTACATCAAACCAAGTAAAATGAACTATAAATAACATACTTGGCTTGGTGTAAACATTCGGTGCGGATACGTTTTACCAAGATACCAAAATATGGTCATTCCTGTAGTTCTCCATTGACAAAAAAGCAACAGGTCCAAATTCAAAACATAACAAACATTTGCTCATAATGCAAACTACATATTGCTAAAAGCAATATAGCTTAGTGAAATATCTCATGATTTAACAGAAAATCGAGTACATGATTATCGTCTCACCCTACTGAAAAATACCTTATGAAAAACATGGTATTATCCACAGTGGCAGCGAGAATGCAGAGTCGGATACATCTTGCTGAAGAAGAGGCTGTACCCTGAGATTCTGAACGCGGTAAATACCCATATCGTAGCCATGTACTGCACTGTAATGGACACCGGAGAAGTCATCTGTGAAGTATATGCAGTTGCTCTCACATTCTGGGTATGTAGAGGAGGGGATTGAGAAGGAATGATTGTTTCCTACAAAAATAGACCAATCACCCAACGATTTCACTTCTTCACACTTTTCGTTGCAGATATCCAACTTGTAAATTTTGAAACACCAAGTGTTTAGACAAGGAGTATCGATGATTCTTGTATCAAACAAAAGCCTCATTATGGCATATATTTGACCATTTACCTCGACAAGATATGTAGTAGCATACACCAAGTTATCCAAATCGCGAGATGCTGGGAAGGCTATCCTCTCCAACAAAGAGCCGGTTAAGTCCCATATCAGAATTTCACCAAAAGTGTCGATGGCATAAAACTTCCCATCGTGACACATGGCATCATCAACATGGCCATGGATGCAACTCAAAGGAGTCCAAGCAACATCACCTGGCTTTGTAAATGCCATCTTCCAATTATCAGAATAGATGGCAAAAAGAACACAATCTGATGAAGACGGACTAGCAGACAAGATAACTTTGTAAACAAACGAGTCACGAAAGCTCTTTCCTGTACAGATCAGATTCAAATTAGGGCATTTATGCAGTGGCGGGAGTGAGATTTGGCCCCCTGATAATGGATTCAGTAAGTGCATCTCAAAATTGGCACCTAGAGTGACCAACCAGCCATGAGAAGAACCCCAACAGCGTTTATCTAGAACATCTGGCAAACATATATCATAACTCTTACAGTTGAAAGGACTATAAAATCTGCGCAAGATTTCATCTTTCCTCTGAGGAAGCATCAGCCAAGGAAGGAATGAGCATGAAGAATTGCCATTTTGTTTTACACAAATTCTCCATGATTTACAGACTGCACCAAAGCGTACCCAGTCTTCAGCAAAATGCAGCCGACTAGCAATTAACCCCAAAAGTTCCACTGGCAACTTACACCAATCTGATGTTAACTGGAAAACAAAAGAAATAAAATTACAGAAAGGACAACTAGAACTTTTTAAGACATGATTAAAGAGTGAGTATACTACACATCTAATTGAAATATCAGGGATATGCAAGACAATCAACTATGCGTTCTGATATTTCAGACTGGTTTAATTCCCTTATTGGAATTTCAAAACTAACTCTCCTAACTATAGGCGTGGCCGTTATGAAGGATAATATTCAAGAAAATTATCCTCGAAGATATTTTACATTTGAAGAATTTTTTTAAAATCATTTTCAAGTGTTTGGAAGGACATAGAAAGTTGGAACAACCCGTAGTCATATAAATTGTAGGATAAAGTATAAATATTGTGTTCTGACAATATTTAAGGTTGATAATAGTGAAGTGAGTGATGTGTTATTGGAGTTTGGATACTGATAAAGGAAAAACCGACTTCGACCCAATTTTTTGAGAAACCGCTTTGCATAACTCAAGATAACTTCTATCCTTCATACCAAAAACACCCTTAAATTCCTTTTCCTATTCACATTCCTGAAAGTAGTAAGTGGAAACCTTACCATTACAGTATTTAACCACCGAAAGAGTTCGCAGCGTTTTGCTCTGAAAATCTTGAAATTCTGAAATAAATAAATAAGAGACTTAAACCCTACAAGATACAACATATTAAAGAGACAAAATTGACCATTATAGCTATTAACTTCTAACCCTATCACAAGTTGGAACAACCTCAAACTTCTCTTCAAAAAAAACATACAGAAAAATTCATGACCAATACAAAGAATTGTGTGGCTAAACGAAACAATATTTGACTTTGCACCAGAAATGTCTGTATATGTATGTGTGTTTAAATAAATATATTCTCATTCTGAACCTCACTGACTCTAAATTCTGAAATAACATCAAGTCACACACACAGACACAACACCTTTATTACTATTAGAAGCTTAAGCACAGACTGTTATCACTTGCCCTGAAACAAAGCTCAGTTCATAGTACTAATATTATCAGTTGTGAGAGATAAATGCTGATCAGGCTGCAAAAAGAAAGGAGTCTTTCTGCAGAAACAACACAGATTTATCACCCAGTTGGGCGACTGTAAGGATCCCAAGTACTTGGATAACAAAAAAACAAAAGGAGTCTTTTTGCCTTAACTTCCGCACATACATAATCAATATTGGGGCGACAGTTAGGATCTCAAGAACTTAATAACAAAAAGGAGTCTTTCTGCCCCAACTTCCACAGACATTTTATCAAACAGTTGGGCGACAATAAGGCTCTCAGGTACTTGAATAACAAAAAAGAGTCTTTCTGCAGCAACTTTCACACATACATTTTATGAAACAGTTGGGCGACAGGAAAGGATCTCAAGTACTTGGATAACGAAATGGAGTCTTTCTGATGCAATTTTCAGACAGACATTTTATCGAACAGTTGGGCGACAGTAAAGGATCTCAAGTACTTGGATAAAAAAAAAGGAATCTTTCTCCTGCAACTGATATAATTGTGCTGACTAAGAATAGTTATAATATTATTATATATGCATTTTCTATTTTATAGTTGAGCCTGAGATTAGTTATTCCACCATATATGAGATAACTTATCCCATCACTATGATATAAAAGGAGGGGGGGGATAAATAATTCCGGTTGTAACTAATACCACTAACTAAACACAGGATAAAATAGTCCTGCATTTTATCCTAGGATTATTGTCCCTTATCCCTCATACCAAACGACTCTATTCTCTTTACCACAAGCATACTACTCACCTAGGCTAAACAAGCCAAGGCAATGAAAAGTTCCTACACCAATATCCTAGCCACTTTCAGTAACCCAAACCCAAATTCATCATATTATACCACTTCCAAAACCACTACCACACTTGTCACACATCTATCTAAAGCCAATACAACTGTATTGGATGAAGAAGAATTTTAACCCCAACTGAATTAAGTGAGAAAAGAGCTAAAAGATTATGCTATCATCGTGATGCGAAACACTTGCTGGGGCATGTTTGTAAGCCTAAAACTCAGTTGTTTTTGTTGGAGCTAGCTTTTGGGGGTGGTTGTCATTGGCTTATAACACTGATTTCACACAAACATTTTATCAAACAGTTTGACAACAGTAAAGGATCTCAACAACGATATAACAAAAAAGGAGTCTTTCTGCCACAACTTTCACACAGTCATTTTATCAAACAGTTTGACAACAGTAAAAGATCTCAACAACATATATAACAAAAAAGGAGTCTTTCTGCCACAACTTTCACACAGACAGTTTATCAAACAGTTTGACAACAGTAAAGGATCTCAACAACATATATAACAAAAAAGGAGTCTTTCTGCCACAACTTTCACACAGTCATTTTATCAAACAGCTTGACAACAGTAAAGGATCTCAACAACATAAATGACAAAAAAGGAGTCTTTCTGCCACAACTTTCACACAGACAGTTTATCAAACAGTTTGACAACAGTAAAGGATCTCAACAACATATATAACAAAAAAGGAGTCTTTCTGCCACAACTTTCACACAGACAGTTTATCAAACAGTTGGGATACAGTAAAGAATCTCAACAACATATATAACTAAAAAGGACTCTTTCAGCCACAACTTTCACACAGACATTTTATCAAACAGTTGGGGGGACAGTAAAGGATCTCAAGAACTTAGATAACAAAAAAGGAGTCTTTCTGTTCATACCTCAGAGAAGCAGCGATTGCTGGCGGAGTCACTGCCAAACACTGATCAGATTTGCAAAATTCTTCAGCTTATGGATTTTGAAAGTCACTCAAAAAAGTAGAAAATTTAGGAAAAATAAGAAAAATTTAATACAAAAATGAAGCAACTATTAAAAATACATTACTTTTTAAATTGAGTAAAAATAATGAAGTCAAAAATAAATTATGTGTTAAAAGAAATTAATTTTTCAACCTTTTGAACAGTAGACATTTTTCTCTTTCTTATTTAAAAAGAGAAAATGATCAAATAACCCTTCAATATATAATCGAATTTTCAATTATACATTTTTATTTTACGAGGGTCTAATCACCCTATGCTATTTAGAAGCGGAATATAAATAATTCTAAAACTACACAATCATATTCACGCCAGTTGTCAAATATCACATGTATTTTTTTTAAAAATGTTTCTATATTTTCTTTTCTTTTTTATCTTCTTCGCTCTCCAAAACCTCTATCTCTCTCCGCCCTACTCCTACATTCTATAACCCACAAATTAAGTATCAATATTTATCAACAACACCACAACAACAATTTTATTATCCTTTTCACCTCTCACACTCGAATTCCACAATTGTAATACCAATTTTAAGCTTGAAGTTCTCGCTAATCATCTTATAATTGAGTATGAATATACTATTTTATTTCTATTTTAATTAGTGGAGAATTTATGCTTTCCACCCTTGAAGAAATTATTAAATTATCGAGTTGAATAGATACAATTGATTGTTGTTGCTAGATTTAATTGATTGTTGCTGCTCAATTTCGTGAAATTTTTATTGTGTAGTTTAGGCTCTTCATCGGACCTTAATAAATACGACTTCAAGGTTGATAGATTTTGCAGCAAGAAAATTAATGACTTTAATTTATCTTTTTACTACATAAATAACTGTTTTAATGATTATGTGGTGATATTTGATGGTTAACGGTTGTCAGTAATAGTGATACAAATTATGAAAAAGTATTTTAATAATCTGTGTCATGTGAGCACTTAGGAGTGCATTTATTTCGCTTTAAAATAGTTTAAGGGGATAATAGGACACCTATAAAATATAAATGTATAGTTGAAAATTTGAATATAAATTAGCGGGGGCATTCGAACATTTTCTCTATTTCAAAATGTGATCATTAATTGATGATTTTATGTAATGTAAGTTTGTTTGTTTGTTTTTAGTTCATCAATCTGAGCTTATTACATCGGTGTTATCAATTAATAACTGTTTTTAACGTGATAAAAAACGTATAATCCAAATAAAAACTTTAAAACTAAATGTAAGCAGAATATCTCCATTAAATCTATATTTATCGAACACCCAAAAATAGATAAAAACGCAACGGATGCCATTAAGCTCTCAAACCAGACGCACACTCTTCTAGATTCCAAATACTGCAAACCAAATTAAGTCATTAGATAAAGTAATTTATCAAATAATATGTTTTTTTAAAATTTTACAAAACTAGTATAAACGTATATCATACGAAAAAACAGCTTGTGAATATTAGAATATGGTAATTATCATAGCAAAGAGAAAACATAAGGAGAACCAAAATTACATGCATGATGTTTACACATCTGCAGATTCAGGATTCAAATTAGATCAGTTCAACCTTTATAATTGTTACACTGAACCCATTTTATTTTTGTAACTATGGATTCAGAATTTAATATTTGTTGAAATCTTAGTGTCTATAGGGTACACATTAACACTGTTCTTCACATTCTCTCTAGCTAATAGCAGAACTTCATTCTTAATCGGCACGGTGGAGTCCATTGTACTCCATGCTAAGAAATATGCAGCACATCAGCCATGATCTGTTGCGGTGCAGAAAAAGAGAAGTTGATGATGATTGATGACAGTTTTTGTACCATTTTCAGCCATGAGAACTCCAAGCTGCTGCTTCAATTGATTCTCTCAGAAAAAATACTACGTTATCTAACTCACCAATCTTCTTTGCAGATGATTGAAAGTACAAGACAAATAATCATTGATATTCTCCATCAATAACTTGAAACCATACGAGTAGTCTCAACTTGAAGAAAGTAGGGGCAAAGAAAATTAACGTTTTGATTTAGTTTCTCCATTGATCAACCTGTTATAAGTAGCAATATCAGGTATAAACCCCAAATCCAACATCTCTTCCACCAAAGCTTCCGCTTCCTTCTTTTTACCCTCCCTCTTAAAACCTGATACCAAAATATTATATGTCACAGTATCAGGATCCAAGCCCTTGTTTAAACCCAATAACCTCATCTTATTTGCTTCCTTCGCTCTTCCTGCTTCACACATGTCACTAAGAAGACAATTAAACGTTACACTATCTGGAAGCATACATTCCTGCAGCATTTTCTCCATAATTTCATATGCTTCATCAATCTTTCTTGTTCTCCTTAAACCTTCAATTAAGGTCGTACAAGCGATCAAGCTTGGAGAATTCCCATTCCTCCATAACTCATGCACCAATTCTATTGCTCTGGCCACATTCTCTTCCCCACAAAGCCTCTCAACTAACCCAAAATAATCAAATGTTCTTGGCAGCACCCCTTTCCTTGAAAAGTCAACCAATAAATCACACGCTTTCAACACCATTCCTTTCCTGCAAAGCCCATCAACCAAAATCTCACAAGTCACTGCTGAAATCTCCCATCCCATCTCAGTCATCTCAAAGGCCATCCCAATCCCCTCCTCAATCTTACCATCCAAAAGAAACCATTTAATTAAAGTATTGAAACTAACTACATTTGGAGCACATCCATGAGTTTTCATATCCTTAAACATTTGTAAAGCCGAGCCCAATTGCGAGTTCTTACAGTACCCAGAAATCAAAGTATTGAATGTAATTACATCAGGCTTTACTCGATCTCCAATCATCCTATGGTAAAACTCCTGAGCCTTATCAAAATGCTTAAACTTCACAAATCCATGAATTATTATATTGCAAACAGCAACATCAGGCTTCCCATCAATCAATCTTCTCATTGTGTCAAAAGCTAACAAAGCATCATCAAATCTACCAGCCTTGCAATAAGCATTAATGGCAAAACGAAAAATTGGTTCAGTTTTGGGGCAAGAGAAAATACCATCAGCACACGGGCAGGGATTAGAAGAAATAAATTGGAGGAGAGTAGTAAGAAACTGGAGGCGGTGTGTGGTGGCAAGAGTGCGGACCATCCACTCAAAAGTGGTGTGATCATGGCGGAATGAATCTACAGAAGCAGCATAGTTGAAGAGGTAGAAGTCAAGGTTAGTGAGGATAGGGTGGTAATGGACACGGTTCTTGAGAAAAGAGAGGAAATCTTTGGCAGTGAAAGAGGGTTTGAGGTGGGTTTCCACGAGTTGGTTCAGTTGGTTTTGGGCAACAGGTGTGAGGTTGTTAGTGCTACACATTGAAGAATCTATCGTTCTTACAGCAAGAGGTAGCAATGAAGTCCGATCAGAAGCCATTGGTTTAGGAATTGATTTGAGAAATCTCCGAAATCCCATTTTCTCTTTGTTCTACGTTCCTTGGCTGAATTTATCCTCTCCCACTTCTCACATAGTTATATTTTCATGAAAACCCTGTAACGTTAAATCATGTCATTCTAAAATCAAACTAACAACTAGTTTCTTCGATCAAGAGATTGCATCACACACATTGCAGTATAAGTATTAAAAAACCAAGTTTTGACAATACACCTGGATACCAAAGGTGTGTTAAATGTTTTCCAACTTTCACATATTTTGGAAAACATCATCTCTCGGAAAACAACCTCCTTAAAAACGATTTACCTGACGAAACAAGTTTCAGTAGTGACATTCCACATAGATAGTGTCATCCCCACCTACCCCATAGCTCTCATCCCCAAGCGGCCAAGCCTAAAGTAAAAGCTGTTGTCACTTGCTAATAAACAAATCAAACCTCATTCTAGTGACATAATGAGCTATAAGGAATAAAATTCTGGTGTGGATGCATAAAAAAGGAACCTTTCTGCAGCAACTTTCACAGGGACATTTTATCAAACAGTTGTGCTACAATAAGGATCTCTCAACTACATAGATAGCAGAAAACTTACTTACCTCGAAGAAGAAGCAATTGGGCTTTTGCAACCAAATCCTGCCGGAAAACAACAAGACTGATCGGAATTTCAAGATTCTTTAGATTTGCTTATGGAGTTCTGATAATCACTTAACCATTTTGCCCTTTTCACTACATAAAATAAAATAAATTAATTTATTAAATACTAATATTTTAATTACATAATAATTTTGCCCTTTCACTAAATAAAATAAAATTAATTAATTTATTAAATATTAATATTTTAATTACAAAGGAATGTGAAGTCCAACAACTTTACTTTAATAATAAATGACTCTTCCAGTTCAAAATAAATTTTATGTATTATGATTTTAATGTGCTCTATTAGTTTAGTAGGTGAAAAATACAACTAAATATCGGTAAATTGTTCTTAATATTATCATATTTATATATTTTTCATCATTTATTATATTTTTTTTTTCTTTCTAGATTATGAAATAGATAAGGGGTGTCAAATAGGCGGGTGAACTGAAAATTGAAAATATTAAATCGAGTTGAGATAGAAGTCGGGTTGGGTATTGACCCACCCAAGTTTAATTTGGGCTCGAATGGACTTAAAAACGGGTTGGATCTTGACCCGTCAATTTGATCCGATTAATCTCACTAATCTAACATACCACACATATTGATATTTAACTTTTATAATCACAATTTGAATTTTAGCTCGAAATTATATATATATTAGCTTATGATTTAAGTTTTTCTTTTTCATTTTGAAATTAACGTATGATTGTCCAAAGTAAACTTGGTATGCAACTCATTTCTTATATAATTATGCATTATTTGGCATTAATCTGAAATTTATTTCTTTGATTTTTTGTAATTGAGGTATGGTTGTCCAAAATAAATGTGATATGGAAAGATCATTGTATGTTGTCTCTTCCTTCAATGTTTATTTTTTTATATTTTCTCTCTATCATTCTTCTTTAATTTAATTTTTCTATGAAAAGATTGTTGTCGTAACATTTGTTTAAGATTGTTGCATTTTCGTACTAGTCATTACATACATGTCTTCATAAAGTTTAAATCATTTTACGAATTTATTAAAAAGAATGAAACACACGTGCAAAGCACGTGTCCAGAAACTAGAAATAAAATAAAAAGACAATCAATTACACTTTAGATTTAAAAAAAAAAGAAGATGCTCTCTCGATCCCATTTTATTTGACACTTTTCGAATTTCGAAATTCAAATAAGTCTATTTTTTACCATAATTTTTTCATAGATCTTTTAAACATTTTGAATTATTATTTATTATAAATTATGATGCTTTTCATGTAATTTGTAAATATATAAATTTCATTTCAAAAAATTTAATGATTTCATGCGTAAATTTTCAGTTAAACTTAAATTGTTTGACTCTCAAAAACTAAAAAAATGTCACATAAATTAAAACAAAGAGATTAATATTCATTTTATATTTAATGAGTAATAATTAAATTTTAATTTATTTATTTTATTCTCTATTTTATGGTTCACAAATATTTATGAATTGTTTTGCGCCATAAATATTTCCTAATTTTGTCAACAAAATCTAATTAGTGCACAAGCAAAATTTTTATTGGATCTCTTTATATTACGTGGCAAATTCTCATTGGCTATTGACATTTCCAACTGGTCCCACTTCCACGTGTCTGGCTGAGAACAACCACGAAAACAAAAACAAGTTCTCCATCGTTCTTCTTCGAAATGCCAAAATCACCATGACCACTCACGTCGTCGCCGGCACCGGCACTACAGCCGCCGCTCTTATTGGAAATCCTCGCCGGAGATCTTCTCCAGCCGCTCAATCAAGTTTGCATCTACCACTTAACTCCCATCAAAACCGCTCTAACCGTCGCCGGATGTTTTCCCCAATCTATGCTTCTGTATCTGCATCTCCGGCGCCGGTTACTAAACCGGATGACCTCGTCGATACCATTCTTTCTAAGGTACAGTTACTGGACTTTTATTTGCTGATGATTTTTTTTTTAGAAGAAAAAAAGAGGAAATTGATGAAATTATTTGTAAATTAGAGTTCGTTTTGGGTAGAACAGTAAGCTTAGTTGCTTTTTGCAGTCTATAACTAGTGAATAACCTTAATTTGGCGATTCAAATAGCTTCTATGTTTAATTTACTCACTGAGTTCAAACTATCATCAACATGATAAACTGATAGTAACTATTACGAGTACATTGGGTGGTGACCTAGTAGTCAATAATGTGCGTTAAGAACTACAAGTTCTCGGGTGGTCTCAGGTTCAAAACTCATTGGAGTCGAAATTTAGTTTCAGATTTGTCCGAACCTTGGTTGAACAGAGTTAACCTACCTATGCTAGTGGGAGGTAGCTAGTATGGTGGAATTTGTTAAGATGTGCGCAAATTGGCCTAGACACCACATATATATAAAAAAAAGTTAAACTTTTTTACCCTCCGTACCCGCCTTTTTGCTCTATTACCGAATCGAACCCACAAACTTATGGTTGGAGGTGGAGGATGCTTACCAACTCCCTTTTATCTGGTTCTTTGTGCTTTCCTTGGCATCTTAACTACTATTGCTTGTTGTCTGTTCCGAAATGTTGCTTAATGAAGCATCTCTGAAATTATCGCTTAATAACTTCCTATTTCCTTTCCTCTCGTGGTCGTTAACCTTTTTACACAAAGCCTCTTCAAATTGAGGAAGCAAAGTATGCCAAAGTTCAGCACAACCCTGGCCTATCATGGCAATTTGCTGCACAATTGTGTGTGAAAAACATATACCTCTGTACTTCAGAAAGAACCCAAAAGGAAAAAGAAGCACAATGAGATCTCTCTGTGTGCATTCTCTATGTTTGTCCACTTTAACACCATGGTAGAGTTTTGGGCTTCATAGTTTGAGAAAAAAAAATAGGCCAGTGCTTCCTTGTAGATTTTAAATGCTTACCAAAAGATAAGGGGAAATCTTGACTTAAGAGTCTAACTGAAATGTGCTGCTTCATAACGAGGTTAAAGAAGCACAGTAGATCTTACCTACCCAACCACATGGCAAATGCCTTGTATTGTAGCAGTAAGCCAATTTGGTTTTGTATTTTAGTTGCGTGTGTTACTTACATTATAGTTGCATTCTGAGTACTTTTGTTTAGGAAGTTTTAATAACATCAGCTGAGCATCATCACTTAACCAGGTTACACAAACGGATCGAGGTGTTTTGCTGACAAGGGATGAGCACAAAAGTGTAGCTAAAGTGGTTCAAGAATTGCAACGTTTTTGCGTGGATGAACCTGTGAAATGCCCTCTTATATTCGGAGGTAAACATGCTGTGAGTGTGTGTGTGTTTGATTAAACTGTAAGATGTGCTGCTGATGAAGGATGTTAGTTATTTCTCTGGTTATCTGAAGAGCAATAGTTACTACTAACAGTTTATTTAGTGCATAAAGGCAATAGTGATGTTAAGCATGTCTTATAGCAAATCAAAAGCTCCTAAACTGCAATTAATAATAAGTTCCTTGCAGAATGGGATGTAGTGTACTGTTCAAATCCCACTTCACCTGGGGGTGGCTATCGGAGTGCATTTGGTCGCCTTTTCTTCAAAACGAATGAAATGATTCAGGTTGTTGAAGCCCCTGACATTGTAAGGAACAGAGTGTCCTTTTCGCTTTTTGGTTTCCTTGATGGTGAGGTTTCCTTAAAAGGTATGAAAACAGACGCAAACATGTCCTATTTCCACGTTCATCTCTTCTTACATATTCTTTTAGACTTGTCTTACTGTTTATATGGTAAGCTTGATCTGCTGCATCAAATGCCAAACATAACAAGGGGAACACTTCCTTTAGCATGTCACTGCTTGCAATTAGCACACTCTACAAGAACAATATACACACATCTGACTGTATTTCGGTTCGTTTTGTCTATACACATTTACACTTTCTAAGTCGCCCATATTTAGTTCACAATCTGTAAACGCCTAAACCCTTGTAAGGATGTTTTTACGTGAAAGCTTTGGAGATTAGTGAAGTACACAACAACTAAGCCTTTACGCATAGTAGTTTGGTGTGAACTTTTGCTTCTATTATGTCCTATTCTTAAGCTAAATTCGTGACACCTTCTGCGCTAAGCAGTGAAGTACTGATGAATAACTTGCTCGTACATTATTTCTTAGATTTAGTATCATCGTACAGCGCGCATTTAATATGTACTTTCATGCCCAAGACGAAACTTGATACCTTAATTCAAGGTCTAGACTCTATAGTAGTTCATGATGTGGTGTCCCAGTTCTTTTACCATTCTAGTCTTGGATTATTCTAACCACCAGCTTTATGATGCAGGAAAGTTGAATGTTTTAGATGAAAAATGGATCCAAGTTGTGTTCGAACCGCCTGAACTCAAGGTAGGAGGGTTAGACTTTCAGTATGGTGGTGAGAGTGAAGTTAAACTAGAAATCACATACATTGATGAGAAGATCAGATTGGGAAAAGGCTCAAGAGGTTCCTTGTTTGTGTTTCAAAGACGCAAACCTTGAAATGCTAGTCTTTCGAGTTTATTCTTATAGTATATAACCAATTCTATCTACAAACATATCATAGAAAGTGAAACAAATCTGAACCATTGTTCAAAGAGAACTCAGTCGCGATATTCTAGTTGTGTAATGTAAAACTATCATTGTCTTCCAGCCTTTGGAATCAAATTTACCAAATTGTAGAACATCATATAGTTTTTGAGGCATTGAGTCTAAGAAACAAGCAGCAGTTTTCATCTACAGTACAAATCGATTTGAATTCAAGACTCAAAACAATCCATAGCATGCAGAAAATGACAGGAAAAAAAATGGAGTTCTCAAAAGACTGGTTCATCTTAACCAGGACCAACTTTAGGAATGTCATAATACTCAGTAAGATTAGCTAGGAATCGATTAAATTCTTGAATTCTATCGCGATGGGATTTCTTAGCTTCTTTTGCCAGTCGTTTGATGTTTAATTTCTCCCACTGCTCGAGGTATTTTCTCTCTGCTGGTGTTAGATGATCGTCGTTCTTGGTAGTTAGATCATCCTCGAGCTGGTTTGTTGTCAATGGGTTGTTTCCGCCTACCATCCACAAATAAAATTTTACATTCAGCATACAAAAGTTAGAGCCAAGTTGAATGGACACAATATTCAAACATGGATGAGTTTTCTATTGTAGTAATGAACACTAGAGAAGACAAATTGAACAAGATTCATATATTACTAGCATATCAATCTTCAAGAGCCCTATGAAGTATGAACCATGATATCAATAAGGCATAATACGTCACTCACTATTTTCTCGTGGAGGTATCTAGATGACCATATTGTAAATGGGAGTGTTCAACTGGCACAATGTAGACGAGTTGAGATGTTTTAGATGGCTAGAAATAAGAAGTGCAGTTGAATGTTAAACCTAAGATAACTAGAAAGGAACAAAAAAAGCACCACCCATAAGTAAGGTAAAATGAAACAATCCATTCTCAATTAGGCATGATAACAGAGAGAACAAGATATGATCTTCAATGAGCAGAGGAATAACCTGTCACTTGAGTCACGAGATCATACTGATGCTTGTGCTTCTTTTTCGTTTTTATCCCGTTAGATTTCACTTCTAGAGCTTTGCCCTTTAATCTTAACTTCCCAGCAACAACGTTTTCGTAATCTGACATCTCACCTGACAGAAGAAGTTCAAATAAATTAACCTCAGAACATAAACTGGCAACTGTGCAACTAGTTCAGCACCCCTTCCCGGGTAAGCATGTTCGTTTGGATATACTTTATCTATGACACACATTTCCTCCCCCTAAAGCTGATTTGAGATTGAAGATTCCTCCCCTACTTTCTCCCTTCAATCCCAGAGTGAAAGATACAAATGATAAATAAAGACAGCGGCCCCGTAATCAACAACATGATAAAAAAAGATAACCAAAGCAAAAGAAACAATGGGAACGGATAGAAACTTAAGACTCTCTATCTCCACCAGATAGAGGTAACGTCTGCATATACTCTACCCTCCCAGATGAGAGGCCCCACTTTGTGCAATTTCACTGAGTGTGTTGTTGTTGTTGATAATAATAGCAAATAGAAGAACAATCCATCTATCATATTCCAATGATCAGTTATAAACTTCAATTTTTAACAAAATTTGCTACTCCTATAATTCAACTTTCAAAATAATTTCTTTGTAAAAATAACATAAAAGAAAAGATCCCACACCAAGCTTCAACTACTCAAAGAAATCCATGAACAGCTAAAATTTACCTAACCTAAAATCATCTATGCTAAATCTTTCATCATTTTCAAAGGGCAAATTTATATTCACCCTTTAAAAAAAAGAGCTTTATCTTTTCTGTCGATGAAGTGAATTGAGAATCACGACGTGTCAGGTTCAAATTCCAAATCCCGGGTACAAGAACACTAGTATTAACTGTACTAGCCTTGATTGACACACTTCACTTATAAAATTACACTAAAATATATTATTGTTATACTAGTTTTGATGAATAGAGTTACCGAGGCGGGAGGTATACTCAAGTTTGTCCAGACTCCACGATTATTAAAAAGGAAGTTATCTTTACAGCAATTTCATGTACTATGCCATAAATACGCAATCGAAACACTGAATAATTCAACAAACTACGATTAAAAATCATGTTTTTTTTTCCATAACCAATTTTGCAGTTTAAATTCATGGAATAGGGGAACAATTTGGGGGTGGGGTGGGGTGGGGGCTATTGAGCGTACCTGATTGAGGGTGATGAAGACAGATCCTTACAATCACCCATTGCTATGGAACAGAGCTCCATTTTAGAGGATCTTATTTCGTTTCTCGAACATTCTGGGAGTCGCTGGAAACCAAAAAGAGGTAAAGATTGTCCTAGTGCCTACCAGGCTCTATTTTCTGACCTATTACCAAACCCGAGACTATTTCACTTTAATCAGAGAGATTTTCGAAGAAAGAAAATCTTTTCACGAATCTAAAAATTCTTGAAATAAGGGCGAGTTTACGCTAATAAAAGCCAGGCGAAGGCCTTCATAGTCGTCGGAGTTGATATCGAGGATGAAAGTCAGTATCAGCTGGTTCTCTCGAGCCCTAAGTATAAAGAAAATCTTGAGTGTCACCCCACCTCTCCAAATAAATCGAGATTCCAAATAAATTATTAATTTTCTCTGATTTTGCTAAAATTATCAATTAAATAGAAACTAATTTTATTATATACTAAAATATAAAAGAGAACAAAAGGAAGTAAGTATCTCATAAATTTTGAAGTTCAAAGTATTCAAGGTTCCTAGATTTTTACTAATTCAAGCAACAGTAACCCTTCTAATAAGAAATTAAAGGATTAAACGTTTTAAAAAGTTTTGGAATTAAGTTTTCAACAGCAATTTCACTACATTAATCTGGTCAAAGTAATACATTAATAACTTATTAAAACTCTCCTAAAATTCTCATACTGAACAACTACATATTCCTCATAAGTCATAATATTTCATTCCTCTTCCAGTTAGTTTTCTTCTTCACGAGTCGGCGGCGGCGACAGCAACTGCAGGAGCTTCTGGTAATGAAAAGATCTTCACAGGTGAAGTTTGGGTTTTGAGTGGGATGTGTGAAGAACCAAGTAACTCCTTCTCCTTCTGAATCCCAGCACCTACGATTTCAAGAACTTTTCGAACTTCATTTGCAAGTTCTATGATGTAATCATCTTCGTGATCAATGTCGTATAGAGCCTTCTCCATTTTGAATATGTATTCTCTGTTGTTTCCACAGGGACCATGAGCAGTCGCAATTTGCCTGCAAAAGCGGATACCAAAGGTTGTTGTATCTCAGCCAAAGAGACGGGAGATCTTCATTTTTACACATAAGAAATCATTTCCACGACAAAAGACTGAAAATAAAGGAACCAAAGTCTTTTACCAGGCCATCTCTTCCAACGGGGCAGGCCCTAGATAGTACTTATTATTCACTTTGTCAGGAGTGGATGTAAACCTGAAATGGGAAATTGGAACAATCAACTCAACATGTATTTTGTCCACATTAACGAAAACTATATGAAGTTCTTGCAGTTAAACAGGATACGTTAGAGAAAGTATGAAGGCATCGGATAAAGAACTTACACTATTACTCCCGTTAAAGCTGGCTGAGGAGAGTCTTCATCCTGAAAGAGTAATTAAGAAAATATGAGGAAAGGAACTTGCTTTCTCTTTAACAGTTCGCTAACTCTCCTTGATAACTTGTGTTGTTCCCATTCCATAAAGAGATGCAAAGACTCATATAAGTTATTGACTTACCGTGTAGAAGTCTACTAAGGTCTTGCTGTCGTACTCACACTCTCTTCTTTCAAGATACTGTAAAGTAAAGATTAAAGATTCAATATTAGAGTCGAGACATGCAAGTGCTATGAGATGATGTGTAGACTAATTGAAGCCAGAGGTCCGGGAGATGGGAATGGAACAGCCATGAACATTGTGAGAGATCATTAAGGAATAGTTCACATACCTCCATTGCCTTCTTTTCCTTTTCAGGTCCTCCTCGCACACAATAAACAGCACCCCACTGAAAGAAAATGCACATATTAGTAAACTGACACAAGAAATGGCAAGAACATTTGGTGAGATACATAGAAAAACAACAAGAGTTCAATATCGACAACATTAACCACAATCATAGTCTAAATCACTGAAAGTAGAGTGCAGCAATTATACTCGGAGCTATTATACTCACTTCTCACTACACAAGGATGCAACACAAAAGCGTCTTGCATTGCGATTGGCATGTCTAAGACATTATGTTAATACAATTTATGATAGGTATTTAGAACATTAAAGAGACAGAGAAATAAAATGCAACATTTCTGCTCAAAGACATTCTCATGTAGAATATATTATACTCTGCAAGTAATGAAAGTAACAAGCTAACATTGACTTACACAAATAGCTCCTTTGCTTTCTTCCAATGTGCAAGTTCTTGCAGGGTGTTCTGGTGTACCTCTATGATCAATGCAAGCTGATGCATTCACACAAACACAATTAACATCAACTTAAAAGTTCTACAAACAAATATCAAAACTTGAAGCAATAACAAGCCTCGGGGTAACAACAACGTACCAAGATCAAATACACGCTTGTAATCCTTAATGTAACCAATCAGTTTCTCATCATATTCAAAACCTGGATTCCATACCAAGGAGCCATAGCCGAAAATCCAGAAGACCATGATTGTGAAAGCTTCTTTAAGCTGAGAACTACATTTATTAACCATAAAATGGATTATTCAAATGAAAATACACAAAAATCTACTCTTTTTTTCCCTCAAGAACAACTATAAAAGCAAAAAGTTGCTTGGGGAAACAATTTCCCCCCCAAAGTTTGCTTTTGCCCCACTAGAGACAGAAACAACACTTCAACATACAACTTTATTTGATTCTTTTCTATTTGTCTCATTGTAATGCACCAAAAAGGTTAAAGGGACCTTGTTTATTATAAAAACTAAAAGAAAGTATCTACTTTGTATCCTAAAACAGATACTACTAGCTATAATTATCCATAAAAGTAACAGCCAAAAAACATATTATCCTCAACAAACTCTTCCAAAGCCAAACCAAAAGCACAAATTGTATTCCAAAAAAAAAAAAAACTGTTTTGTTGCCATTAACTGCTCAGATTCTTCAAAATTTTCATTTAGCGCGTGACAAATCCTCCAAAAGTAGTGCATTTTTAAAGGATCCGACGCCAGTCTGAGAGTCCGGGGCAATAGTATACCAGTAATACAACACACTATACAAGCTCTAAAACACAACGAACAAACATTGAGAAAAGATAACATTTTTGCACATTTTACTTGTCATAATAACATTAACCTTACTGTTCATCCACAAAAACCTAATTCGAAGTAAAATAAACCTCCAAAAACTAAATTACAATCTAAAAATCGGAAAGGAAACCAAGAAACTTCAAAAACGATAACAAATTGCCAATATATCAGCAAAACTAGGGAAAAAATCGATAAACCCCATGAAGAAAAAATAAAAAAAAATATACACCCGCAAACGAAAAAAATCAAAAAATCTTAATAGCTCAATTAATTAACTATCGAACTTTTCACCTCCACGGTGAGTTCCGAGGTTTGGATTCCCCATCTTGTAATCCCCATCCCCTTCCCCTAACCCACTTTTTTTTGTTTTTCTAAAGATAAAAATGGAGATAAAGCAAAGACATACCAATATATGCTTCAAATGGATGAAAAGGCAATGCCTTTTTGCTGAAAAAGGATGAATTTGAGAAACCCTAGAGGAGAGAGAAGAAAACAGAGAGAGAAACAAAGATGTTTGTTTCTTTTTGAATTTTCTCTCTTCTCTCTAAAAGAAAAAAATGGGTTTACAGAAATGGAGGAGGAAACAAGAATAAAGAAAGTATATATTTATAGGTGAAGCAAAATTTCATTTTTTTGTACCTAGACACCATGTGGATGCCTGGTCCATCAACATCAATGCATCTGTTTCATTTTTCATCTTTCATGGGGGTTTTGGAGGTGGAGGTGGAAGTGGGAAATTTTTCGATATTTTTCGTTTCATAATAGTTGTCTACGTTACTAAAAATAAAACTAAAATGTTAAATATTTCGTTCAAAACGAATGATTTTCTTTCTCTTTTAGTTTATTTAAAAAAGAATAATTTTTTTTTCTGGTAACAACTTTTCACGTGACATGTTTAAGGCCACATGTTAAAAGATAATTTTATATATTTGACATAATTTTAATTTATAACCACGTGATTAGAAGTCTTTTTTGTTTTTCTTAAATTTCATGTCAAGTTTAACTGAATCATTCTTTTGTAAAACGGAAGAAGTATGATTAATACTTTTTACAAGAGTGTTAAGCTTTAATGAAAAAATGATTTTTTTTTTCTTTTATTCTTATGATTGTTTTTTTCCTCAAAAGTGTTAAACTTTGAAAGTAGTCAAAAGAGGATTAGTTCATATTTTCCTATTTTATACCTATGATTAATTCGTTTTTCAAAATTGGTAAATTTTTTATAAATAAAATAAAGTTCTTTTTCATTTATGATTTTTTATAAATAAAATTTGAGGAAAATGTATACAATGACAAATTAATAAATGAAATTAATTGTTCTAACCATCCTTTAATTTAATTGTGTCTCATAGTAAACTGTTTGTCAGTCACCTTCGTCCTTTTAACTCTCGCTCGCTTCCTCTCCCTTTTATACAAATACAATTGTATAAAATCTGTTTCTATTTGTATAAAGCAGAAAAAATTGTATAAATATATATATTTTTGTTCCCCTCTCTCCTCTCTCAGATCTCGCTTGTCACTTTCCCTGATCTCGCTCGCCAGCCTCACCTCTCTTGCTTATACAAACAGAATTGAAATGTGTAAACTGTGTTTTTATTTGTATAAAGCGAGAGAAAATTGTATATACACATGCAAATGCATATATTTTCATCCGATACATTTATAATTATACAATAAAAATGTCCCCCTACTCAGTTTCTTTTGCCTTTCTCTCTTTCTCGTTTTGTACAATTCGATTCAATTGTATATTCCCTGCCCAAGTCTCTTTTGTCTTTCTTTCTTTCTCATTTTATACAAATTCAAATTGTATATAATCGTTCTACACACTTATAATTATACAAATTTATTTTATACACTTCGTTTTATACGAGAATTATTCTCTGCCCAAGTCTCTTTCTCTTTCTCATTTTTTATACACTTTATTTTATACAATTCGCTTCAATTGTATATGTATAGCGAATTATACATATATATGTTTGATATAGAGTGCAATTATGCAAACTTTACTATAACATACAAATATAAATTTTATGTTTGATATATGTGAAAGCTGCCCTAAAAATAACGAAGGGATTGAAATAAATATTTTCGAAGAGTTCTAGATAAACCCAACAGTAATTTATGCAAGAAATTTTTGAATGAATCGAGTCGGTTTTATAGAACAAATTCATTTTTTTCACGTTTTTTTACCGAAATTAGCGGCGGATGCATTGGAATGGACCACCAATATAACACTCTTTTTAAGTTATAAAATGTCGTGTTTTTTATTTAATAAGTTTCTTTAAAAAATAAATAAATAAAAATTTTATTCGTAATATTTGGAGAAAATTTGACTTTTATTATATCTTTAAAATATAATTCATTTTTATCAAATATTTACTTTACTCATATACTATACTTAAATTGTTGTTTTCGTAGTTTTCAAGAGTAACTATTTGTAAAATGAATAAAAATATTTTTTTATTCTACCTTCAAGATGACTTATTCCCAAAGTATTATTCAATATCTATGTTTATATGTCAATTAATATGAATATCAATGTATAATACATATATTAATTTATATTCCTTAAGAGCGGTCTAATTTCAAAATGAATAAATAAAAGTAAACAGAATAATATATACTCGGCAATTTAACATATGAAGAAAAGATAATTGTTATCTTGTTTCACACTATAACATTAGATTGATTACTAATTATTCATCAAATTATTTTTAAATCCGAAAATAAACAAAGAAAAATGAACAAAGAATTATTACATTTTCCTTAAAATTTTAAAATGACAAATATTGAGATACATATTTTTACTACGAGCGGTAAATATTCTATATATTTTAATATACTTTAGATTCATTGAACCTAGACTATTGTGAAGGGAGGTATTAAATTAGTAATATTTTAAAAAATAAATTATAGGATGTGATTTAAGTGCAGTATTCTAATAAAAAAATAATTCTCGTTAAAATAACTAATTCAAAATAGTTGTTATTTTAGAAAATCGAGGTATACTCCCCTCGTTGATATTTAATCGTCACATACCTAATTAATTTGATTAATTTTTAAAATTAAATTAAATTAGATTAATTTAGTACTTTAAATTTAAAAGTTAAATAGTAAAAAATTATATGAAAACACATTATAAGTTGGTTGCACTCTTTTTTATATTAATATGATGAAAAAAAATATAGCTTAAAATATTGATCAAATTCACGTAGTTTAACTCTTAAGAAGCGAAATGTGACAAATAAAAAAAGTAAAAAAATAATTAATTATTGGTTTTCACATAAATATGGAGAGAGATTAATATGGTGAAAAGAGAATGCCAAAGTATTAATAAATGTTATCGCATTCGTATTGAATTCTCCGTAATACACGTAGCTTTTGAATGATCTGATACATGTCAAACAAAAGGAAACATATTTCTATCTTACTATTTCACAATTCAATTTTAGGTCACCGTACAAATTTTTCAATTTAGACTTTACTCGAATTTATAAACAGATTCAAAATTTAAAGTCTATAAGCTCCTATAATAATCTCAAGTTAATATTATAATAATAACTGAATTAACAAACAAATTCTTCTTTCTCTTTACACCAAATCTATACAAACTAAAAAATAGGGGCTATATAATAGCATTTACATCTTGGAAAAGAGGAAGAAAATGTTTTTTTCTCCACCCCGTCTCGTGTACCCATATCGGAACCCGACTAAATTTAGATTCACGCGAAAAGTCCTACATTAAGAAAAAGCGCTTCCTAACAAAGTCGACAACGTACCATGGAAGAAAATGTTACTTTAACAAATAATAGGACCAAAAAGAGGGATAATGCAAGTCCTTTTTTCTTACAAGAAAAATTAAAACTTTAGAACAAAATTCTCATCAGTTAGATCCTTGTACTTCATTGGCTTTTCGAGCTCTCGTAGCTTGGCATTGTATTCGGATAGCTTAAGTTATCCTGCATAGATCATATCGAAAAAACGTTGTCAATAAAGATGTAACGTAGTTTAGTTTGTGGATTTTAACGTTATATATGCTGACAGTGTAAATAAGAAGGTTACATGATCAGTATGTTTAGGTAACTTAGCTTATTGTACAGGTTAATGATCTTCTGATAGTGTATAAAAGTTAAACTCGTAATGTAATGCAAGTTGACTTACGCGTGAGAGGGAAACTTGGCTATGATTTGGTGAGATATTTTGATTGTACATAAGTGATGGACATGTATTTTCTTCAGCAAGTGTTCTTAATCTTTCTAACTCTGGCAACACGACTTTGCCAAGATCGGGTCTGTCTTTTCGTCTTAGCTCAGAGCATTGTAACGATAAGTTGGCAAGACGCAAAGCCTCATCGTAGGGCCAATCATGAATAGCTGGATCAAGCATTTCGTTGAAAGTCCCTTTCTCAATTGCTCTTTCAACATAGTGAGTCAGTCCCATTGGTGATCTCGCGGTTAGTATCTGCAAGAAAATGATTCCTAAGGAGTATACATCAGATTTTACACCAAGCATGCCGGTCTGTTGATATTCAGGATCGATATAGCAGAACGTTCCAGCAGTTGATGTCATTCTGTATTGAGTGACACTGTCTGCTACTGATGGAGGGACTAGTCGGGCTAAGCCAACGTCACTTATCTTACTCACAAAGTTGCGATCAAGCAAAATGTTGCCCGGCTTTAGATCACGATGAACTAGTGGTTCTGGTTTGCTTTGGTGTAGGAAAAGTAGACCAGTAGCTATTTCAGAAGCAATCCGAAACCTCTGCTGCCAAGAGAGTGGTGGTGTCTTTCCTCGATGGAATAAACGATCATCTAAGCTTCCGTTAGACATAAATTCATATACTAAGCATCCGTATTCGGGACAGGCTCCTAGAAGAAGCACCATGTTAGGATGCCGTATGCAGCTCAAAACTTCAATCTGCAGTGGGAGATAAAGAGTTTCCGAAATTAGAAATTGTACTATACTATTTTAACAAGTTAATATATATGCATTATTAAATGGAGCCTTGGAGAAATGGTCAAATTGTCTCCGTGTGACCTATAGGTCAGGGGTTCGAGCTATCGAAGCAGAAACTGATGTTTGCATTAGGGTATACTGTCTGCATCACACCCCTTCGGATGCTGCCTTGACCGGATCCTGGGTAAATGCGGGATGCCTTTCTTTATATATGAATTAATTACGTTTGGAACTTTTACTGAATTACCTCTTGTTGAAACTGTTGTCGTCCATGAGTTGCATCAGGACGGAGGACCTTAACTGCAACAGGCGTATGATCCAGATAGCATTTATACACAGGCCCGTAGCCTCCTTCTCCGATTTTACGAGTTTGAGCAAAGTAGTCTGTTGCAGATTCGATCTCCTCGATTGTATATTTCCTGTACCTGACATCAGAGTTTGAAAGTTTATTTAGTATTTTATTCTTCTCTTCTGCTTCTTTTAAAGCTTTCATTTCCGCGCTGATTCTCTTCTGAGCTTCTAGTTCTGCAAGCCTCTGAGATGCCTCTGCATGCTCTATGGCTGCTCTAGACTTTGCCTTTTCCCTCTCTGCAAGTGCTAATGCAGCTTCCTCAGCTAAACGTGCTTCTTCTAATCTTCGTTTTTCTTCCATTTTCCAGCATTGAAGTTCCATTGCCTGCAAACGGACAGCATGTTAGTACGCTCATAGAATCATTACGAAGAGTGCATGAGGAGTAATAGTTTCCTTTATCGTGCCTTTTGTTTTGCTGTAAGTGCTTCCTTGCAAGCCGAACTATACAATTCCATCGTTTGCTTAAGCTCCTGCTTTAGCCTTCTCATTTCTGCTTCTATATCATCCTGTAAGCCAACAGAAATGAATTTTCCTTTTATAGAAATTCGATCAGACAAAAACATAGGTTGCAGACCATGAATGGTCTAGCAATTTACAAATGCTTACTCCTGGTCCTTGCGAAAATGATGTTCTATCACCGTCCAATAACGTGAGTGATAATTCTGGTGGAGTGGTGTCCACGGATCTCCGCCCAAACTGTGTGGAATCGAAACTTTGACTATCAAAGTCTGAAAAACCTGAAAGCCGAGGAGGGGTCGGTCCACCACTTTCATAGCTATCAGATAATGAAGAATAGATGTTATCAATGCTTGGCCTTCCAGAACTGACATATGATATATCAGTATCTGTCAAAGAGATTTCATATGGCTTTCCGTTCGGTCCTTTCCTATGAGTGAATGGAGACCTGTTTAAAATAGTACATTCGACTTAGTCCTTCAGACGCGAATACTGTGCAAAGCTATAAATGTCAAAATGTTTGGAAGAACTTGCATCACTGACTATGACATTCTGATCGCGTATGCAATAGATTAAGGTTATCACTTACTTGAAACTCATCGTGTCACTTTGAATTGTAGAAGGCGGAGGATCACAAACAGGCTTCGGACCTCCTGGAAATGAACCTACACAAAGCAGTTAAACAATGAACCACAGGATGCAGCAAAAATTTGATACAAGGACTTTGCTTTTTCTAGTATTTGGCTCACTTCTTGAATTATTAGAAGAGGGTGTTGAAGTATCAAAAGGAGCAAATTTGGTGCTCGCAGGCTGCATCAACTGGTGACGTAGTGGATGGACAAAAGGCGCAGAGCGAGAAGCAGCACGTGTAGATGAGATCTTTCCAGTTTTGGAGATGATATGTACAGTACAGAAATCAGGAGCCCCTTTTAACATGCTTCCTGGTATGTCTTTGGCTTTAAATCTGCAATGCAGAAAGATACATACTTCTAAGTCAAGTTCGTAGCATACATATCGACATATTCCTATGAAGCAATGTAAAGAGTCATACCTGAGAAGACCGCCTCTCGATGAAGCACCAACAATCAATACCTCCACTCCTGTTCGAGCCACATATTCAATGACTGCTCTGGCTACATCCGTGTCGTCTAGCACAATATCATAACATTGTATCTGTGTTTTTAAGGATTAGAAGAACCAAAAGTTAGAAACGCGAAACCTGAAAGGAAATACTAATTAGTATGATTTAACAAATTTCCTGAAATGTATTTGTTACTCTTTTCACATATTTATAGGTGAATTCATCAAAAGTTTTGAGTTACTAACATCTTTTCGTGTACAAAATACTCGGAAAGGAAGAAACAGTTCCTTTGTCTGCTGATCCAATTCCGTGTTTCCTACACCTTCATCAGAACTCTGGTTTGATCCTGCAATGTGAAATGTACAGAGTTATTTCTGCAACTATGTGATTTCACACTAACTAGAACAACATAATGAAATAGCAAAAAGATTGATATTTGTCTAATAAGATCTTGGCATGCAAAGTACCCATGGATGTGGCTTACTGGTCGATGAAGTGGAATTAAAACCAAGGTAGACCAGGGTTCAAATCTCAACAAACAACATGTATTCAATGAAATACTCCGCCTAATAACATACACATTCTACTTTTTAATTTGTAAAAATAGTCATTCTAACTACAACGTCAACTTGTACAAAGAAATTTCATAACTATATATCTAATAACCGCGCTGATGGGAGGCAACATGTATTTTATGAAATTGTACTTAATATCTTCATACATGTATTCATTTTGATTTTGTACAACTGGTCATTCTACAACCTCAAGATGCACAAACAAATACCAACATGCACAAACAAATACCACTAACTATCAACTATTCGTGCTGATGAGAGGTTTCTACTTATTTTGATTTGTAAAACTTGGTCATTTTACAACTTTCAACATGCACAAACAATTCGCAGAGTCCCTCGATACCTGTGTTGATAGAAAGTAGTAGGTATTTCATGGGATAATCGAGGTTCATGCAAACTGATCGTACATACATGCACTATTATTAAAAAAAAAAGCATAACATGCACAAACAAATATTTAAAAGAGGGAGAGATTAGGAGAATTACTTGAAGATATGGATTGACCAGATGCATTAGCAGATTGCTTTAATTTGACATGAATCAAAAGAACAGTTTGTTCTCTGGCTAATAGATGATCAACAGTCCATTTTAAAGCAATTTTGCTTCCTTTATCTTTATCTATTGACACTGCTATTAATTTATTTGGTAATGGCATTCTTTCTCCACTCATATTTGGTGGTGGTGGCCACATTTTCTTCAAAAAAAAAATTTATGTATATTTTCAACAACACATGATCATTCCTATACTATTATTTCCAAAATATGTATTACACAAAGATCTTTGTACAAATCTAACACATAAAAATTAATCATAGAACTGAAAATCTTGAATGACACTTAGTTGAATTTGATCTGTTCTTGAATTTAACATAGAGAAGAAAAATTGTGAGTTTTAGTGATTAAATTTTTTTTAGAGAATTTGAAGGGAGCTCCATTTTTGGTGGATACTTAGTTGGTTTTATGTAATAGTAACCACTATTAGTATTAATTATCATAACAAACTTTTAGTTTCAATTTTGATTTTAGTTTTTAGAATTATTTAAAATTTGTCAAAATTATTACTCCATCTGTCTCATTTTATTTGAGGTAGTTTGACTCGACGCAGAGTTTAAAAAAAAAGAGAAAGACTTTTAAAACTTGCGATTTAAAAATAGAGGGAAAAATGATAAATATACCCCCGAAGATATCGTAAATGGTATTCAAATATCACCGTCATACTTTTGGACATTGATGTCCCCGGCGTTCAAATACTAGGCGTATATACCATTTATACTAACGGATATACATGTGTCATAATCTTATCCACCAATCCAACATTTATTAAATATCGGATTGGCGGATAAGACTGTGCCACGTGTCATATTTAGTCCTCCGTTAGAGTGAAGGACATATATACTCTAGTTTTAGACGACAGAGACACCAATATCTCAAAAGTGTGACGTACGATCGATGTCTGCATGTCATTTACGATAGCTCAGAAATATATTTTTCCCTTTTCCCAAAAACGAATGATACAAATTTGTGCGTCGATGAATCATTTCATTAAGGTTAAAATTGACATTTTAAAGTTAAATTTTTACTTGATATAAAAGTTTGTCATTCTTTTTTGACGGACTAAAAAGAAAAAGCAAGTACTACTCCCTTCGTTTTAAAAAAATGACCTCATTTCCTTTTAGTCTGTTTCAAAAAAATGACCTCTTTCTCTTTTTTTTTTTTGTAACATTTTAAAATCAATTTTCTACTTGGCATATTTAAGACCACAATATCAAAAGACAATTTTGTACATTTAACATAACTTTAATTTAGGATCACAAAATACAAAAGTCTTATTTATACTCTTAAATTCTGTGTCAAGTCAAATCAGGTAATTATAATAGTAATATAAATTGAAACAAAGAGAATAATTGCTTCATCATTTAATTATCACACGTGTTTTGTTAAATTTGTTTAATTTATTTATATTTGAGGGTAATGTAATTAAAAATTTAAAATTAATCAAAATACAACATATTTCTTTTAATGATGAAGCAAAATCATTAGACTAGAAAATCGGGAGAATGTACCAATAAGTGAGAAATAGAAATGTAATTATTATCCAAGTTATCAATATTTATTATCAGATAGTTTTATTTAAATTTAACCAGATAAGATGAAATGTTTAACTCACTAATATAAGAAGAGTGCTAAAAAAAGAGACCTATTTGAAATAAAATACTTTTAAATAAGGTGTGAATATGTACATTGAAGTAAGAGAAAAAGAAAGAATATATATATATTTTTTTAGAAAAAAACAATGTTTTATAAAATATACCAAAAATAGATAATTACAAATTCAAAATATTTTATAAAAGAAGAACTTATTGACTACACCATAATAACTAATATAAATGCTAAATACTCCTTTGGTTCACTTTTGTTGTTGAATCAATACTCAAAATTTTAAAGTGAAATATTTGTAAAAACTATACGAAAATTATCATAAATTACAATCCTACGTTAAAAAAAAAAATACAGAAAAACTGATTTAATTAATCCAATTAGATGTAAAATACCTTTCCTAAACCTTCGATAACACAAAGACTTGACAGACAAGTAAGTCAATTTTCCCTAAATTTTCTACTTTTGTTAGAACTAGGAAAACTTTAGTATAAGTATATAATAACTTGAATATTTCGTGTATAACATCAAAAAAAAAATAATATACAATTCTCCATACTTGTGAATTAGAGTTATGGTTCAAGAAAATAATACTAATTGTGAGTCTATTGATGGTATTATTCGTGATGATAAATGTGAATGGTGGTCGAAAAAAAATATGAATGATTCGTCCTATTTAGAATATATAAAACGAAATGAAGAGAGGAAAAAAACAAAGTCGATTCGAAAAATGAAGGAAAAAAGAAAGAATGAGGTATGTGTTGATGCTATTGAACACTTATATTACCTTATTCCTTGTAGAAAGAGAAGCAAAATGTATAGAGAGTCAGGTACAAACATTGTACCTCGACTCTCATAGTTGGTGAATTTATTGATGGAGTTCCAAATATGATCAACCCAGAGCCAATCGAAAAATTTCAAGATTTCGAGGTTCCAGTAATTCCAAAGATTGATTCTTTGAGTGTTATCACTGAACCAATCGAAAAAATTCAAGATTTCGAGGTTCCAGTAATCCCAATGATTGAAAAACCCAAGAAAAAAAGGCGAAAAAACAGAGTATCAGAAGTTGTTATGCCAGAGGAGTTGAAGAAAAAGATTGAAGAATTAGGGGTTTCAATATCTAAAGTATCGTTAGTGATTGAGAAGCAACTATATAAAACTGATTTAAGTGAAACACATATGCGTTTATCGATACCGGTGAATCAAGTTGTTAATTCTAATGAATTTTTGAATGCACAAGAGAAGGGTATTTTGAATTCAAGAGATAGCTGTAACAGAATATCAACGATTAAGTTCAATTTGATTGAACCATCACTCGAAATATGCAACATTAATTTGACTAAGTGGCCAATGAAGTCGAGTTATATTTATGTTTTGTTGAATGATTGGATGTCAGTGCACCAGAGAAATGGACTCAAGGTTAATATGATGGTGCAGTTATGGTTTTTTCGTAAGGATGAAGATCCATGGCTGGCACTTGTTGTGGTTCCTCGTGATTGGGGTGTGCAAAAATCGAATCGATCGATAAATTAAACTGATAAGAGTGTTATGGGTTTGTTGTTATTGAGTTAACGATTTTTTAATAGTTTTATTTTTTAAAAAATTATTAGGTTATTAGTTTGGTATTGATTTTTAATATTGGATTAACCGATATTAATCCATTCAGATTAGTAATTTACTACCTTTACTTGTTCATAAATATTACTATATATTAATTTCAATATTTGCTGTTTTTGTCTTTTGACCTTCAATTTACGCTTTATAATGATTAAACTTTAAAAAAATCTAAAGTAAGAACCCTTTTCTCTTCATTTCTATTTGTGTTACACTTGTATAATTCTTCTTTTCATGTTTGTTATTATTGTTTCTATTTCATGAAAATTTGTAAAGTTGCGTTTTTACATTGAATTTATTAGAAAGTCATGTCTTTTCTTATTGGTTAAATCGAAAAACAAACCGTTAAAGATCAAAATCGATTAAAAAAAATTTATTGGTTAACATATTTAAAAATCGAAAATCAATAAACCGAACCCATTTTTTTGTAATTTTGTACACTTTTTTAGTTTATATGGCACAAGTATCCTTCCGGATTATGACTGTAATTTCAGAAACACACTTTCATTAAACTCTCATAATCTATTTTTTTTTTGTAATTTTGTACACTTTTTTGACTTATATAGCACCCAACAATCTCTCACACGCTTCAAAGACGTGAAGTCATAGAGTATGTCACGTAAGCCAAAAAATATATAAAATTACAAAATAAATCAGTTCGAGATACAAGTGAAATTATATCTCCTGCTCCTGCTCTAAACTTACGAAAATAATCAAAAATATTATTTAAGTATGTAAAATTTATAATATTAGCCTTCATTGGGATAATTCGTTTGATAGGTTGTATTAACATCATATCATAAACGTTATATGTTAGACCAAATATATTTGCGTTTATTTGATTTTAATTTAATTTCTAAATGACAAAGTTGACGATATAATTTAATACCCAATTAAAAATCTATACAAATTTAATATTCCCACCTTTTTGCCAAAATTGTAAATAATAATTGGAATTCCCTTCTCTTCTCTCATATTTTTTTCTCAACAAAGCTCAAAGGTATGTTCTTCAATCTTCAACTGATTGATTTGTATAAATTTATCCCTTTTCCAATTTTCTGGGTTCGTTTTGACATTGTTGATTACTCAAAATTGTTATTTTCTTGGCTGTTGATTCATAGATTTGATTAGATTGTAACTTTTTAATCCCTAGCTGAGATTTTTGTTTATTAAGCAAAAAATTTCAATAAAAATGAAACCCATATACAATAAGAACAGAAACCCCCTAACCCATCTTCGTTACGGCCTCAAAACCTCATATTTAAGGTATTTTCCATTTGTGTGTACTTCAAAAGTCGTAAAAGTTTGGTTTTACAATCGGGTAATGCAATTTGTAGATGGAGATTTAGTTTCTTGTTGTAAGTGGATAGGTAGAATGGTAGATGTGACGTTAAAGTTCGATCGAGTGTAGAGAAACCTCTAGATGAATGCTCAATTCATAACATTGAATGCCCATCATGAACATTGTAGTTTTAGTACTGGTTGGCTATGTTGCTCGGATTCTTCAAAAATGTCATGGGGTGCATGTTGATTCTCCAAAATTAGTGCATTTTTTAAGGGTCCGAGCAACGTAGTTGGTCTCTATTTTGTGGCAAATACGAAATGGTTTTAGAAAAATGTTTCATGAGTTTCATTTTAAAGGACATTTGAGGAAACAATACCGGTGTAGTCAAAGGTGTACTTCAAGTGCGCTTAAGCCTTGAAGCGAGGCGTAAAACGTGTTGAGCGTTTTGCCCACCTTATGTGCGCTTCAGTGTCGTCATCAAGGTTTTAAGTCAAACGTTTTCTTGCCAATGAGCCTTTGTTATTAAAAGAAGTGACACTAAACAATTGATATTTCACTTTATCATAATTGTTTTTCAATTTCTTTGGTCATATATTTGTCATTCATGTTTGTTGTAATTATTAGTCTTGGACTTAACATATATATATTTGTATTTTTTTCTCTCTTTGTGTCTTTTCTCATTAAAGCCTGCACTTTATTTGCGCTTTGCGTTTAAATCCTCCATGGACCTTAGAGCTTTTTTATGCTTTTCGCCTTTGATAACACTGAACAATACAAACTACAAGCTATATAGGATTGACAAAGAGAGAAAGGCAATATGAGAACTACGCCATTGTGTATCTTTTGGGTTGTCTGAAATGAAAGAAATAGAAGAATGACCCATAATAGAGAAAGTGTAACATTTTGTTCATGTGTGAAGAGAGAATCACTACTTGTATAGATAATTTGCATTACTTGCTAGTTAACGGTGGTTGAGCCACTCATAATCCTTTGTACATATTTCTCCTACCAATTGTGTGTTTAATGAATAAATTCTTTGGTTTATCATAAAGAAAATTCTGATAATGGGTGGGGTTAAACAAGGTATCTGATAATAAACTAACAAATTTTCTCATATGATGTGATGGTAACGTTTCCCTTTGTAACCTTAAGAGTAATCCTGTATTAAATACCTCAATATTTTCAGTAACTTATAAAATTTTTTGTGAAACTATTGTCATCTGCAACTCCTTCTAGTTTACTTGTTATCATGATTATTTCTTGGATATAAGGAGAAGTCGTTGAAATTTGATTACAGTGATTTATTGTGTTGAATAGTGTGTTGAAATATGGATGGGAAAGAAGACAAGTGGAATGAGATGCACATTGTGGATGGATGATTAAGACTGCCTTTACTTTAGTTAAATAAGTTAGTTTATATGTTGTCTGTGCTGTATATAGTGGAAAAGTTAATTGTTTTATTTGCAGCATGATTTTGCTTTGTTTGCAGCTATCTTTTTTTCTTCGATATCTTCAAAACTCATGGATGATTTGCATGCTGTACAACATGTTTAATTTTTTATGTTTGTGCATGCTGTACACATGTTTAAGTTTTGATGTTTGAATTCTGCCTTATTTTGATATTCATTCTCTATGGCTAATAGTTTCTTTTTTAGGACAGTTACAAGCTTTTGATCTGGCAATTGGTCTCGCTGTAGGTTAAGTTCCAGTTTCCTGATTTGGGTTTATCTTGTACGGAACTTCACAATGGTAAGTCTGAACTTTTACTCGTGTTATATTTTGCGTAAAACACATTAAGCCCCTCCCTATTACAATTGGGTTCTTCTTATAATTATAATCAGAATCGTTATTTTGTCTGACCAACAAAGTTTATGTATACCATTCTTTTATATGTACTTAGAAATGCATTTCAATAGCTGTTAATCCTGTTGATTGTTTTTTATTACATTAGGATTTCTCATTTTAACTCTTCACCTATGTAAACTTGACAGCGTTATAGTTTTTGTTGCATCTCTTTATGTTTCTATACATGCAAAATGTGCTTGCAAGAGAGAGGAATGTCAAAATGGTGGACCTGTCTTGTAAAGCAGACTTAAAGACATGTTAACTGATACTTAGCCTGGAGAGAAAGGATTATTGATTTGTCTAAGGTTTTCTCATTTTTTAACATTGTGGAGGTGTGTGGGAAGATGGATTGTTACAGATCCATAGCAGCATCTGGAATGAGTCGAGAGACATGCTACTCAAGCTTAACGGTGGCTGGTTACTAAGTTATCAACACATCACACAGTAATATAAATTTCATGCCACTACATATATGCATAACTTTGGTAAAAAGAATTGGATGGGAATGGATTTAATATTGTTTTTCTCTTCTCCATTTTCTTGCATTATTCTCATGTGAGTAACTGTTCAAGTGATCGTAATCAATAGTCACTGTAGGTTTTGTGTCGTAGCCAAGGAGAATAGGGTCATTTGAAAAAAGAATCAAGACTCAATCTTGGGTCTATTTTCCAGGTTCAAGTTCTATCCTATACAATTGTCTCGGAGTTTGTTCTTTTATCACTTACAGAAGCTCTTTCTTCCCATACAGTGGTAAGCTGATCTAAAGTGTAAAACCCAGGGAAGTCTCATATCAATTGAACACGGGAGAGAGAGATAATGTGTACCTTAGACCCTAGAGATGCGATTTAAAGTCGTGCGTGCCTAGGTCTAAAACGGACAATATCAGTAGTGGTTGGGTGTTACGGATGTTGTCAAAGTCGCTCGCTTGTAACAGTGGGGCAAACCTCTGTTTCAAGTGAGTTTAGTGCTTTGGGCTAATTCCATATTTTGAAGATGATGGTGGGCACACCTCAGTGAGGATGCTGAGTCCCTAAGGTGGGATAGGCACCAGACAAATCCCACATCGGTAAAACACAGGCGAGAGATGTTGGGTTATATAAGGAAGGAAGGCGTAGACCCTAGTGATCCGTTTTAATCCCGGGGGCCCTAGACAAAGTGGACAATGTTACTAGTCTACAGGGCTGTTACATATAGGTGGAAGAAAATTAATGCTAAACTGAACAAATTAGAAGAATTATAAAAATTTGTGTTGGAAACAATTATTATTATTGTTTCCAACACAAGTTTCCCACCGAAGGTGATTATTTTGGGGCATAAGCTTGGATAGTGTCACAGTTTTGGAAATGAGTTCCTATTCCTTTTCCGTATTCTCTCCTGAACCTAGTGGTTACTGCACACGTAGAAATGTGAAAGCAAACAAGACTTATCACGACTATTGCTCTAACAGTTCATTTTCTTGTTACAGGCTGCAAGAATCCTTGCTAATATAATTGTCATGGGCTCTACAATATTGGCACGGTCTTTTGTTCAAGCATATCGTCAGGCACTGGCTAGTAAGTACTTTCTTACACCTTTTCCTCTCATCTTGCCATCAGTTGATATAGGTGACTAATCTGGAGAGTTTGGTCTGAAGAAACATTTCAACAGTTATTTCAGCATACTTGTTTTTATATATATGACGTTTGTGCAAGTCCTGAGGTAAGCAATGGTCAATTGGTAATTAAACATACCTTGAATCAGCCTATGTTGCTCAGACTCTCCTAAAATGTTGCTGCAACTGTGTGTGTCAGATTCTCTAAAAATGCTCTATTTTTGGAGGATCCGACACGCAACCATTGACACTTTTGAAGAGTCTGAGAAAAATGCTCTAATATTTCATTCCAAGAAACAGTAGATCAGTGTTAGAAAAATGGGTCTATCAATATATTTATTTTTAATGGTCTATCAACTGATTCACACCATTACTCCTCGTTCTAGAACTCCGGCTTATGTCACTTGAGTCTCATGTGATCTGATTATCTTATCCCGAGCGTATTCTACATTTTTATACTTACTTTTACCCAACGACGGCAGACGCCTCTAGGAATGGGGTTGCTCAAGAAGCAGTACAGAATATGAAAAGAGCTAGTAAAACCATGACTGATGTAGAGGCAAGGCAGATTCTCGGTGTCACTGAGAATGCATCGTGGGAAGAAATCATGCAGGTTAGTCTAGTGCAGTGATAATTAGTAGTGGATGCTGCTATTCGTATACGTGTGACCTCAATTTTGCTTCTTTCTGCAGAGATATGATAACTTGTTTGAGCGAAATGCTAAAAATGGAAGCTTTTACCTTCAGTCGAAGGTTCATAGAGCTAAAGAGTGTTTGGAAGCAATTCACCAACCTAAAGAACCAGAGGAAAAATAAACAACTTTGTTCAGCATGTTTAGTGTATAGCAAGCTCTGCTGCATAGTTGGTTTTATCTATAGTCAGTTTGTAGTTTTTGATGGTGGAATCGATTTTACTGAAGTAACTTGAGGTTACTATTCAAGTTTTATGTGTGGTATATCTGGAATATACAAAAAAAAAACATTGTAGAATAGCTGGATTCATCAAGAGTTGTTAACCATAACAAGTATGTTGACATTGTGTCAAACATAATTGACAGGTAATTGTAACTAGAGCTCGTCACTGATAACCCTAAACCCTGAACCCTTCCGAGGCTATCATGGTTAGAATGTGGTTGTGGAAGAAGTCGCGTGTGCTTCCATTGACCATATGTAAATGGTGAAGCATCAAGAATTTGAAGATCTCTTCTATCTTCTTCTAAATATGCTTTAGTTTATGCTTTGAATATAACATGTTAAAGACTTGTTGGACCATAATTCCAACAGAAAAACAAGACAAAACAAAACCATTAACATCACTTGGACAAGATTAAAAAATTAAGAGAAACTGAATGAGAAAAGATAGAAAAGGACATGTTTTTCATCATGTCCACTTTCTTTCTCAATTTTTAATACCAAACAAAAGTGAAAAAAGTTACTTTCAATTCACTTTCTCATTCATCTTTCCATTCTCTATTACCAAACTCAGGTCTATTTTGAAGTGATAGAAAAAAAGAAAATAAAAGATGTTAAGCCATCAAAGTTTACTTTTTTGGAACCATATGTTATGTGTCATCAAAGAGCCTAACAATTATCCACGTGAATTGTGGTCGAATAGTCGAAATTTTTCTATCCTTTACTAGAAGTCTCGAATTCAAACCTTAGTGGGAGGCTTGGATCCATATGATGTGCGTCACCAAAGAGCCAACAATAGTGATGGTATGGTCGAAAGTCCTCCATCCTTAACGAGAAGTCTCAAGTTCGAACCCGTATAAATGAAAGGAAAAAAAATCTCAATGGGGCGTGGACCCATATGTTGTGTGTCATCAAAGAGACCATAACTAATAACATGGATTTGTAGCGAGATGGTTCAAATTCCTCCATCTTTAACCAGAAGATTCGAGTTCAAATTTTTTGAAGATAAAAAATCTTTTTTAAAGTGATGTCTCCAAAATTTAATCGAACTTCAATACGAATTAAAAAAAAAAAAAGAGCCAATAGTTGAATACTACATGTAGAAAGAGGTTAGGTGCTTACAAGCTACTCATAAAGCATTAAAGTCCTATAAAGATAGAAAAAGAAATTAAAGTTAAACCACTTGTTTAACAAAAGAAAAGTAAAGATTGGGAGTGTCTTTTTTTGAAGCACATAAAGTTAATTCCAACAGAAAAAAATTCTTTTTTAAATAATTACTTCCTTTATTAATTTACCTTCGTTTATATTTAATTGTCATAATATTTTTTTTTCTAAAATCAAATATAAACGTGCGCCTCACTTGTAAGAAAATATAATACCATCTCTTTTGTTGTTCATTCTTATTGACTTTTCTACTACACATTCAATTCTACTAACATAATCTTACTGATTTATTTTTTACTAAAGTACGATAAAAATGTATAATTATCTTACGACTCATTACTTTAATACCTCAAGATTAAAATGCATGTAATTTTTTTACTTTTCAAACCAAGCTTCTTGGTCCCAATTTTTTTATTTTTTTTTTAATAATAATAAAAATCACTTTGGATATTCTTTTCTTAACTTCAACCATTTTGTCCTAAAGTTTTGTTTATTATTTCAATTTTGAATTGAGCAACTTTTAAGTACATGTTTGGATCTATAGCAGCCTTTTGAAGGTCGGTGCAATTAGTCCCAATCAAGGCCCACTTATTTTTATGAAAACCCTCGATATTTGTATAATTTGTATATCGACCTCTTGATATGATTTTCTGAGATAAAAATAATTTTGGAGTATTGAATCGAAAATATTAGTTAGAAGACTTAAAATTTCTTCTGAGTGGGAGTAAATATATAATTGTTATATGATTGATTATCAATAAATTTTATAAGATAAATAATTTTTCGTGTTTTAAAATTTAGAAATCCTTTTTAAATAGATGTGGAGAAATTTTTTTCTTTATTAATAGTTATCGTCATATTAAAATGAGGACTCTTAATCTTTTTCACTCCTTATAACAATATATTTATACGATGTAGGTAAAATTCAGTAGAAGAATGAGTTAACGTGTTAATTAGCACTCTTTGTAAGTAAACTCGACCTGATAACTATTTTCAAATCGCAGAGGAACTCCAAATTCTCTTTCCTCTTGATAAATGCATAAAACAATATACAAATAAGATGAATTTAATCAAATTCTATAAATACAATTATACATCAACCATAGCAAAAGATTAAGCTAATTGTCCCTTCGGGGACATCTGATAAAATTAAAACAATACAGAGAAAATTAGTATGATTTCTGTGCAAGGATGGCATGCAAAATTCGAGAAATGATCCAAATTTTTTTTTAAAAAAATCAAAAAAGATTAAGCTAATTAATGAAAAGTGTTTTGGTTACATCAACCATGTGGATTTTGTGTTAATAGTATTTATCACCAAATAAATATTCCTCTTGTGGCAACAAGAATATTCCCTTTTTTTTTTCGTTCTATTTTGATGAATAAAGTTTAGTACTTTGTGATATTAATTTTAAAATGCAAAAAAAAAAAAAAAAGGTCAAGAATTTTCATTTATTTAGAAGAGAAGTCTTTTAATTCAATATTATGCAAATTTAAATTTTAGCAATATTTTCAAAAATAATTAATAAATTATTTTTGTTGTGTAAATTTACAAAGTTATTTGGAGAATATACCAACAAGGCTTATTCATTACTCCGTTCTTCTATCTTTTGAAGACAATAAGTTGAAATAATTGAACTAACCATATTAATATAAGTTAACAAATTAATCAAAATACATTAAGTTAAAATGAGTTATATAATAACAATTCCTTAAAAGAGTATGAAATTATTTTATTTAGACGCTGAAATTATACGAGATACTTTAATCAAGTATCAGAATACATATTAACAAAGTATTTCTATTATAAAGGACTGAGGTGTTGAGATTTCAATTTATGACTTTTATACTTTAAAATGACGAATTTAATATTACTTTACTTTTTAAATTTAATATATATATATATTTAATGAATCTTTTAGCATAAATTTACTATTGAACAAAAAGTTATAAATCATTTGTGAAAAAAAAATTTATTTATTTATTTTTAGAAAAAAAACTTAAGGATTAAGAAACTTGACAAGTCAAAAAGCAGTTTTTATCACTTCTTTCTTTTTTGTTTTTTCCATTTTTTTTTTATTATTTAGATTTTGTGGGACTGTGAAATGCTAGACCAAAAAAGGTAGAAAAAATGAGACTAATTAATCAATAAGACTATAAAAATAATTAATTACTAGTAAGTATTTTTTTAACTCTAATTCAAGATTTCAAATTTAGGCTTTTATATATTAAAAGAATTGTTATTACACCTTAATATGAGATTTTTTGATGGAAAAGATGCGTATTTTACTATCATATATTATTATAATTTATATTTTTCTAAATATTATTAATTAGAATTTTCTGAGTATATTTTACTTAGTACATAATTTTTATTATCAGATTAAAAAAATATAATTAAAAAAATATGAATAAAATTCATATATATCTCAAAATGTCCCACCGCTACAACAAAAAAACAAATTAAGCCTAATTCCAAAATACCAAAAATAGAACTACTTGATGATTTTTCTTTATAATTATTTGGTATTTGAAGTTTATTGCCCAATTAATACTAATTATGTCGCTTAAAATTTATTAAAAGGAATAATGTTCCATTTTAAAATAAAAAAGATCCTAATTTTTTATTTTTAAATTGGTAGTGAGTCACGTGATTTATTTAAGAATCTATAAATCAAGTATAGGAGTATAGAACTATATACCTTTGAAAAATTTAATTTTAAATTTACTTTATGATATTTTATATCAAAATAAAATTTCAACCGATAAATTTAATTCTTCTAGCAAAGTTCAGAATTAATTTTTTTTTTCTTATTTTTTTACTTCTTTGAGTCAATGGCTAATTTGAGTTTATTATATGTCAAAGCTATAGCTATACCTTTGAATCATTCTCAAAAAAAATAAAAATTTACAAACCTTATCTCTTAATATACAAAATAATTTTAAAAAATTACCGAACAAAATTAAATAAGAAAAAAGGATACTCCTATCCCATGATATTTTTTCATTTTTTAGAGTTAAACTGTTTCAGCTTGATTAATAATTTATGTCAATTTTATTGAAATAAAATTTATATATTTATAAACTACGTAAAAAGTACTGTAGTCTCAATAATTGACAGTTCAAATATTTAAAAGATGTATGAAAAATTTTCTGTCAAAGATAGATTTGTTCGAATATCGAAATCTGAAAAGTGTCGCATAAATCGGGACGGACGGAGAATGTAATATTGTAATTATAGCTTATATCAAGGGTATAAAAGTAATTTACCACTACAAAAACAACTTTATTTGTTTGTTGGCTTTTTCTTTCACGAGTAACCTAGACCTTTTGCTATATAATCATTCACTTTGGCTTCTATTTTTTTCCCCCCTTTCTTCCCCTCCCCCCTAATCCCAAAATTACTTGTTAATCATCTTCTTGATATTTTTCTTTTTTTTAGGAAAAAAAATATATAATATGGAGAAAAAAATGGCTAATTTTCCTAGTAGAGATATGAAGAAAAGTCCATCTTTATTGGCTTTGGAAGAGTTTGTTAATCATAACAAATTATTTTGTGGAGAAGATGCAAAAATTGGTGATGTTTTTGGAGGAAATGATCATCAACAAAATATCAATAATAATAATAATATTAATATTAATATTAATCATCATGATCATGACAATAATAATAGTCATCATCATCCTCAACTTTTTGATGATATTTGTTCAATTGCTCCCTCATTTACTATGAGTAATCAGGTTAGCAAACTTTTCCTCTTTTAAACTTCTTGTATGATTCTTTATCATAATCGTATCGTTCATGTCAGTTTACACATACATTAATTAATTTTATAAATATCTGTTATCTTCCGCCAGCACAACTCTTGTTTACTTCTTTAATATGTATTTTATATAAGGGAGAGTTTATGTTTATTTTCTTTTCATGTCTTTTTATTAGTCTTGTAATATACAATCAGTACTTTAACATGTTATACTTGATTTTGAAATATTTGAAAGATTACTTGAAAAATTATATATAAAAAAAAGAATATTTCTTTTGATATGGTGTTAAAGAATCTATATATTAGAACCACAAAAAAAAAAAATTAAAGAGGAGAAATGAATTAAAATGAAGAAAAAGAGAGATGAATTTAATGTTTGAAGAATAAATGAAGAGGGTGGGTTGATATTTAAAGAGAAAGATGCTACAAAGATTTTTGGAATCTAATTGGGTGAAATAAAGTACAATTTGGTGATTTAATTTTATTTTTTTAATTTAATTAATTATATTATGATAAGCCCTAGCAACTTTATAAATGTTTATTACAAATAGTATTAAATACAAAAGGGGGGCCATATTTTATTTTTATTTGGGACGTGACTATTTATTATTGGTAGAGTATATACAAGTGACAACTGACTACAAAAAATCACATTTCAAATAAGTTTTTTTTTTGTTGTGTGAAAATATAAAAAATAATTTAGAGGAAAATAATATTTAGGAGAAATAATGTTTAATTTTTTTTTATTTGTAGTTACTATATGAATTCTTCTCCCCTTTAATTACGTTTGTGATAGAGAAAGCTAGATTTAATCAAATTACATATAATATAATAAGTTGTTGAATATGAACTCGTGTATGTATTTACCTGAATCGGTTGTCTTTTGTATTTTATCTCTTTATCTTTACGAGATATAAATAAAATTTGTGTTTACTCTACTCGTCTATATTATCTCACTTGTAAATTATATTAAATATCAACTCGTGAAATTATCACTATATTAACTATAAAAATATAGTACAAATAAGGAGATTATAAGATATTTTTTTTACATAATTAATAGGTTTTCAAATATTTTTATAAAAAATTGATTCCTTTCAGTTTCTGACTATATTCATGGTGCTTAACTAGACATAATTTGGAATCTCACTTTTTAATGAATAAATTAAGTAATCAAAATAATATTTGAGAGTTTTTTTTTTTAATTACTTTAAAATATAAAGTGTGTTTAATTAAATACTAATTTTCCATGTTACTGTGAATGGTCGGTTTGCTGTATAACTTTCAGAGGAATATAATCATACTATATATAATATAATAAAAAAACTTTAGAGTTTAAACAAGTGATTTTAAAACAAATAATTTTCGAATAAAGGTCTGCGATTTTTCTTTTTTTTTACGTAATTTATAAAAATATTATACTATTGAAATAAGATTTACCTCGTGCGATTTTTATGTAATTTATTTTTAAAAAAGGAATTAATTTTTCTTTTTCTACTTTTTGTTATAGTGGAGAATGATTGATTTATTGCCTTTGATTAGGTTCTATGGGCAGTTTGTGCTTTTTGAAATTGTCTTACTTCTTTGTATTATATATAAAAAAAATTAGGTATAGATTGAGAATGACACCATAAAATAATTAATCAGAAAATAAAAATAAAAAGACAATAATTATATATTTCAATGTCTCTTTCACACCACACACACACAAGTATAAAATAATAATTAAATAAATAGAGTAATAATAATTAAATAAATAGAGTATACTTTTAAAGCATAGTTTGAGAGTAGTTCCCTAGGGACATCTTTAGAAGATCTTATTTTTTAATTGGGGGTGTTTGGGTGGGGGTGGGGTTAATATTTCGAAATAATTTTTAAATTTTCGGTGATAAGCTGACTCCGTTCCTGATCTGGTATATATATACCCAAGAAATTGACAAGATTTAGTGGTTTGTGAATTTTTTTATCGTTTTTTTGGTTCAAGATTTTCTGTATTGATCAGATTCAATTGCGTACCATATCATTTTTAAAATTGTTATACTAAATTATACTTATATTATAAATTGTTTGCTATTTTTTTTTAATTTAAGCAGTTGCTTGAACAACTATTTAGATTAATTTTTTAAAAAAAGATGAGATGCTATTTAGTTGAATAGTGAAATAGCCATTCAAACTCTAAAAAGTCATATTTATTTTAATTTTTTGAAATATACCTTCCCTGATGATGCAACATATCAAATAATAATTTTTAGAATATTGTAGTGATAATAATACCAAATATTTATTTCCACCTTTAAATATTCTGATTTTTTTCTTCATTAGACTATTATTACGATTTCTATTTTTAGATATTTATATATAGAATTGAGTATAGACGTGTAAAAATTTATATATAAAGAGATATTAATCTAATATTTAACGACCTTATATATTATCAGATTCTCTAAAAATTCGTTCCAAAGT